GTCACAATGTGAATCTAACCAGCGATTAACGGACAGGGAAACATGCACGTAGAATAAAGAGATCAAAGCCCGCTTTATACATGTCGTACTACTCTATTCTACTATGGAGCAAAACATTATAGAAAATTGACAATCAAAGCACCAAAAATTAAAAGTCCTTATCACTTCCTCCGCCCCACATCTGTTTTCCGTCTAGTTAGTATTACATGTGTACCTCACTTAGCTTTTATTCGACCGTATTATGCCGTATTTTAACAACACTTTTTTCATAAATTGCCCTTCTTTGGTTTCTTTTCTTTGCTAAATCCACTTACTGCAAAATGGGTTATCCTTTGTTGATGTTCAGGGCTTCTGCGTCTTCCATCTTCCCCAGCTCCATCCAATCTCATTGCTGCGTCTACCCCCTGAGCATCCAACTCACTCATTCAGTATCCTTTGCCATGTTCCTCTGGTATTTGCCATATTCTCTCATTCGTATGTGCAATGTGTGGTCGCTCTCTAAGCTTCGGACACCACGCTAAAAAATGCTTACCAAGTATTTGTTTGTAAACTAACAGTAAGGTTTCTCACTATGTATGCTGGACAACTAATCGACGCTTTGCGTTAATAAAAATAATTTAGCCATACTCGAAGATCGTGAAATCTTCCTTGTCCCTCTATGGAGTGCCTGATGCACAATCATACGGCTCGTTCTTAAAGGAGGCCGCTTTTACAAATCGAAACTGATTTGTGTATAAAAGTCTCAAATACACCGGAAAGTTAATCCACGCTAGTCTTTACCAATTTCCTTTTGGGCACATGGAACTTGCGTGACTGGATACATAAGGAACTGGATACATCCATTTTTACTGTATTCGCCATAAATCTCACATTGTACTTTGCTGAAACCCCTATATTCATTTATCAGAAAGCCTTGCTCGTTTCTTTGTGCAAAATTGTTAGTGCTTCAGTTCGGTGTCTATTCGCACTTTCCGCAAGTAAGCTCGATATTAACTTTAAAACGAAGGCTCATGAATGCGTCGTCAACTCTCGTAAACCTAGAAACCGCCAGAAAAAAAAGAAGCACGGGTTGCTGATTGGCAGCTCGTTCGCACTGAAATAATATCGCACGTGAATCACTTACGACACCATTGTCACACTTGCTTTCCCGTACATGAGCAGGCCCAGCAGCTTCAAGTCTGATTCTATCGGAGCGGGTGCTCTCAATTTTCGAAACCCTCAAAAAAAGCTTTTCGTCTCTATCAATAGATCCAAAGCTAACGGATTTCTGCAAACTCTGCAACTACCTAGCCACCCCGCATCTCAAAAGGCACTCCCCACAAACATCTTGAGGTGCGTAAAGGCATCACACTGAAAACAACCGAGCTGAGTCGTTCGTCGAGCAATTCTTCAACTTACTAACAAGTCTTCGCCTCTACAAAAGATCAGAAGCTCAAACTTGTGTCCGTTAATACCCCGTTTTAGTCAAATTATCAGATTTATCATTTAATCAGGCTCGAGCAAATAGGCCTATTGCAACTAATGGATGGCGTAGAGCTACCAGTAAAATAACCCATTACGATTAAAATTTTAGAGCCATGAAAAATACCCTGCTCAAAGAAACAAAAGGGCACCTAATCCCCCTACCTTGCAACCCCATGTTATTTACTTATGAAAATTAAAATGCAATGAAAGTGAAAATGTATCAAGTCTAGATTTTGTAAGACGGCGAAAACTAGCAGAATCAATATTTGCTTGCCGAAAATACAAGGCACCAACACAAGTTTCCTATTAACACCAGGAAACAGGTAAGCTTCTTTAGAATAGTAGCTATAGTATAATAATTAATTGCAATATCAAAGTCAGAAGCTCTTCTGCTTTCCCCAAATCCTAATGACAAACATTCGCCCCTCATTTGAGATTCTAAAATTAGCATCTTAATAATTCACAACTGGATCTAATAAGAGAATGCTTTAAACTAAATTTTAATCTAGATAACCGATATAATATATTTCTATAAAGCTCCGAATCGACACCTTGAAAATAGATCACAGCAAATGATCACACTGGTATTTTTTACACATTAATTTGTTGAAAAAGAATGTATGAAAGGAAAAGAAAGTAAGCGACTGATGTAAAAAAGTTCGAACAAATTATTCGGAGGAGTCCAGGAAATATACTCATGCTGAGTATTATGTTAATTTACGAACTAGCAAAGGTACCTTGGTGGTACCGTGAAAAAACTGCCTATTTTGAATGATGCGCCATGTTTAAAACCATGTATTCGCAATAACTTTTCTTCGAATTGCTCATGTCCAGAAAATAAAATGAACCTAGTTTATTTTTGTATTTATATATTTAATATTTAGCTCGGTAAATTTCAATAACTACTTTGCACCTACAGCTTAAGACCTGTTAAATGACGCGTTATATCTTAAATATATGCATCTTCTGCCAACTGGAGTTATAGTTAATACGTCTCCATTAGATCCAAGATTACGAATCCTATACCTTTCACCGATCACTTGGGCACGCGACAACCACCTATTCCGACGTATTACCTTACGATGATACTTATTACATTGAAATAGCTGCTGATAACGTAGCTTCGAATAAACCATGTGATGTAATCAACAATCAAGAATTGAACCTGGTTGAATTCTTAAATCAGTGTCTAACAGTGACGAACCCGACCAGTTAATTCACATATATATACCGCAATATTCCACATGATCCTCCCATTGTCTGTATTGTATGAAACCCTACGTAGCAGGCCGAACAAGTTTCAGCTCAGCAAATTACTGGAAATAACTATGCGCTAGGAAGAAAAAGAAAATTAAACATGTTCATCTGATAACGATGGAGCTGTGCCCTGTCACTTATCTAATCTAAATCAATAAAAAATATAAAAGCATCAATAAAATAAGAAAAAGTAAAATAGAATAAATAATAAAGTCTAAATCCTGGAAAAATCAATATTATAGTATATCATAAGCTCGAAACCGGGCGCATATACAGTTTCTTCGTAAATTCGCATCATCTTTCCTTCAGTGAGTATCCAGGCAATAAATTAAGGTGGTGTATATTATATTTAGCTCTGTCCCTCGATATTGCCTGTATGATGCCCTTTACCCTAACCTTTACACTAAGCAATGCCTATAAAGCCGCGCGAAGGCCTTTGGTCTAAGATTGAGTCGTACAGGCGTCTGTGAGCAAGAGAACAAAAACGTTGCTCCCTACAGACAAAAATCATGTAGCATTCTCCGGGCACATGGTGTTGCTTACAAATTATTACACCGTCACAATATCAGTGCGTTTTATACAGATTTAACTGATCGTTCTTAGTAGGGACCTATAAGCCTTTGAATGTCAATTAAAAATTATCCTTAAACTAGTAGTATCAGCACAAGTTTTTTCTAGACGTGCATATATACCTATAATACGAAGGTTTCGAGCGGTGATCAAAATCCTCAGAACATAATCAAGAGGCAATTAAAAATTATCTTTTAAAACTATAATAGTATCAGTACAAACATTCTCCAGATGTACGTGTATACCTATCAGCATAAGCCTTCTCTAGATGTACGTGTATACTTATAACAAAGATTCCGAGCGGAGATCAAGGTCGACTTAACGAAGACTTTTTACGGCTAGCTAAAAATAGGCAGTAGAATAACAGCTGAATTATGGCTTTCATAGACGGTTCATTATAGCATTTTGCTTTGTAGCTTTTGTTGGCCAAATTATATGATAGGATTATCCTTTCAAAAATTTGTCATTCATTACTCCTGTCTTCTCAATTTTATTTGATGCATGCCATCCCTGAGAAGGAATTGTCAAGTTCAGGTCTAATTTAGTAATACACTCTTTAAATAACGCAAGTACGCATCAAGTAAATTTCAAAAAAAACACTTGAACATTCAGAAAGCTAGGTAATGACAGAGTCGGTTCTTTCCACAACCACTGGTGCGAGCGTACATGGCAAATAGCATCTGCGAGGGCCAGGTGAAAAATGCTTAATGTTCAGACCAAAGCGACTCAGGTCTCAATGGGTCCAGAAGGCCGTAGCCTTCCGGAAGAATGCAATCTGGCGTTTAGAATATTGTTTTTATTGGCCCCAGCACAACAAACTGCTTCGCAAATTGTTAACCTCTTACCTTAGGTTTATAGATCACTTAAAAAAAAAAAAAAAAAAGTCCATTGAGTCCAGATTCTAAAAAAATACAAAGCTCAAATTCAGTATGTACATTCTGTATATTAATGCGTGAGTCTGCAGATGCATCGTCGTATTTGCAGACCCATGCGTTAATATAGAGAACCTCAACCCATAATTTTATCTCCAGTTTTTTTCACCAAAAGACTGATGCTTACTCCCCCAACCGAGCAGAATTCTTTAGTCCTCAAAACTAACGAAATCAGCTCTGATTAACGATACACGTAACCTCAAAAAAATAATTTCTGTTCAGCTCCGGTGAAGCTTTTTAAATAAATAAAACAATTTCTAGTCATATGCATTTTGAAATATTACCGATTTAAAGAGGATGTATGGTTGGTCGTCTTAAACTAGATATAATAACCCTTACGGGTGTCTGTATTGGCAACAAAGTATTTTCGTAAAAAATATATATTATAATTAGGCGTTTACTACACCTAATTAGTAAATCCTTGCAATCACTTAAATACGTCGATGAATAATATTATTAATCACTGTCTTTGATACTTGTCGTTTTAACTCAGTGGCTATTTCGTCATCCGCGAAAGGAGCGCAAACAAGCGTTGTAAACGTCTACGATTTGAATTTTTACCTAAGTGAGGCTTCACCGGTACTTAGTAGTAATATTAATTTACCTTGAAAAACGAATATATTAATTATACTACCACAATCATGGTAGGAAACTGCAGGGTAGTTACAAATCTTGCAATCCAAACTATTTAAGCAGTCGTCGTCATGCAAGCGGGTCGTTAACCTGAAAACCATGTCATAATAACATTCTCATAGCATACTGAAATTGCGCACTTACCTATTCTTTCTCTGTCATTTGAATCCACGACGAAGATGAGACCTTGAGTGTTCTGAAAATAGTGTCTCCACAATGGCCGAATCTTGTCCTGGCCACCAACGTCCCACACTAACATGAAATAACGAGAAAGATTACCAAATATATAAAACAATAGGTAGATATTAAACCAGGCTGCTTATTATCAGATCAGTTATTATTTGATAGAGAGAATATTCTGATATAATAAAAACATAAGCAATATAGCGGCATTTTTTACCATGAACCTGTCCAACTTTATTACGAAGGCTGGGAATATAGATAATAATACTACTTACATTTACCGTCTGTCTTGCCTAATATATCATGTTTTCATACCGGTAACAACTTAACGTATAACAACGTGATGCCATTAGAATAACAAAACCTAAAAAAAATGTAAATCGAACTTGCCTTATTCAAATCATAGGCATACATCTTTGGCAATACAACCGTCATATTTATTTTCCGACGCTTACGGTAATACGATCGTCATATTTATTTCATATGATAATCTTTTTTCTTAATGAAATAATACTTTCTTTCAAAAATTTTTCCCAATAATTCTGCCATATTAATAATAACACCTGTGAACACAGTGTACGCCTGTGTGTACAATCGACACATAATTGGTCCATTAGCTACGCCAACAGGTTACCTACCCAGGAGTTAACCTACCGGTAAACGAGATGTTCTTGTACTCGACAGTCTCAACGTTGAATCCTATGGTTGGAATGGTGGTTACAATTTCGCCCAGTTTTAACTTGTATAAGATAGTCGTTTTACCAGCGGCATCAAGCCCGACCATGAGAATCCTCATCTCCTTCTTGCCAAAAAGGCCCTTGAACAGGTTGGCGAAGACGTTGCCCATCTTGCCGGCGGAGTAGGCTATAAACGGATCACGATGGCAGGGCCTAAAACACCGGACAGCGAACGATCATCGAATGATGCAAAACAGTGTTTACGAGATACTGAATTTAGATAGGAAATGGGGCTTTGAAATAGAGTAACAGCGGTGGTACATAAGGACCCTGTTGTAGTAAAACGATTTTCATAATGAAACAGCTCCTAAACAAACCGAATCAATTTCGACTGCCTATTCTTAGATATGGAATTAAAATACTATCAGAAACATTATAGAATAAAAAAGCAATAATATTCTTTACGCTTACGATGATCCACACAATTAATTACCCTGCATGTACTCTACTAGTGCAATTCCAGCAGTATCTGCTGGCGTGTAGCTCTAGAAGCCAGGACTATTTGTAAAGGAAAGGGAATCCTATAGATCTATTTTTATTTCTGAGCTTTTAATACCACAATAGCACGCAGCAGCATTACCGTCCATGCAGTGAAAAATTAGTTTGTGTGAAGCTGCATATTCTATGCAGACCAAGGCTTTGTAAAAATAAAACAAGCGTGGGCCCACTGCAACACTGGTGACATAGCAACTGCGAGAGAATGGGGCACGTCCAGATTGTGCTCATGTGTACTTCACGTATACTATATATTTACTCAAACAAGCCTTTGTCCACTGTGCATGTGCAACTTCCCACTTTTAAGGTGAATATTCCGGAGTTACTAGATATCTCTACCAGAACATCGAGTGGTACCTGAGTATGTGACAAACAGAGATACGTGGAAAAGGAGAAAAAAACGAAAGAGCGAGTGAGAAAGGGCACTTAAGCAATAACAGAACGACTCGATTATTCGCTACTCCGTCATGGATACGGATATTTGTGTATGGCATTGGCAACAGCACTACCGCAAAACAATCTGCGTACGATGTTCACTGCCGTTTAGACCTAAAATAGGCAAGCATAGCGAAGTGCTAGGCGCGACCTGCCCACACTGATGCGACGGGAGCATGTTTTAACGCAAATCGGTCCACAATACAGCGTACCCAGCAAGGCAGAGCACACGTCATTCACAAAAATGTCAGTATTATCAACACACAATGACATATCTATTCACACACAGGCACATAACACACAAGGCCCAGCCATTTTTCGCTATAGCTCACGGTGAATGTATAGGTCGTCGGTCAGTGGTCATGTAAGTCACATCCGTCGTCAAACTGCTGCTACTGCTGCCGTCGCCGCCCGCGGAGCAGATTGCTTGCTCCTACAGTTCAAAAGCCTGGCATCACTAACAGGGTGAAATTATAGAACTCGACGATACGTTCTGCAATTTGGGTGGTCTGTTTTGCTTGCTGAACAAAAAAGGCCATCTCATTCGATGCGGGGACTCGAGGAAGTGTTTCTGCACTCAAGACAGACAAGGCAAAATAGAACGGCCAAAATGTGGCAAAACTAGAACCAAAATAAAACAAATCGGGTATACAATCTTGGCAACCTAACTATTTTGGAAAGAGCCCTTATTCGGGGTAACTCAACTGCTGCGCCAGAGCGGACCGGTTTCTCCGCGACGGCTCTCGCCTAGGCACGACACACACAGGACCCCCTTCTAGTACACAATTAAATAGACATATATGCAACGGCAAAGCAAAACACAGCCCTACAACATTTGCTTCCATACATGGATCGAAACTATCGGGTTGTTAACAACATTACAAGTTCTTGGTCGCTCGTTTGCTCTTTCTCTCAGTCTCTGCTTTATTTCCTGTCAAAATGATGTAAAGTTAACCTGCGCGCCAGAAAGGTTAATGTCTGCCTCTTTTCCTTGCAACAGCAAGCAGGCTCCTAGTTCATCGCGGACGCTTGCCTATTTATTCAACAGGTTTCTCTTTAAAGAGACTTCGTACCTTTCTCACTAAGCAGAGTTGAATGACAGAGCAGAGTGCAACCGTGCATACGCATAGGGCATGTCAACTCAACTTATACACTAACAACAGAATGGCTAAACGATAGCAGGCAGATATCTTCAGCTTATTTGGTTCGGCACAGAATCACTGACTGACTTCGGTCAACCAGGTTTCGTATAAAAGACGTGTTCAACGTGTCATAAGATCGGTAACTTCGGTGGCAGGAATCACAGTGGAGTAAAAAATGTTCTTCGCACAAGAATGCCGTTCCATCGGTTGGGAGCTCGCAACTAACCAACTACTTGTTGCGTTGACTTGCGATGGCAATAGTCGTTGTCGTAATACTACTATGAACAGCACCGCTGCCGCTACTGGGACTGTTTGCTGTTGGCGGAACGAACGTTTCCTCTTCAAAAGGAGGTCGTCCATCCGTCGCATCGGCCACCATCGCTTCAGGCTATCAGAATGACCGGTAGAAAGCAGCACATGAAATCATTGACGCCATCAATAATAACTACTTCTGCCACTAAATCGAATACGCACAGACACCGGCACAGAACGACAGAAGTACACCAGTCGACTAAAATAGAAGTTGCACCTTTCGTGGCATCTTGCATTTGCTGCTTCTTCTTACGGTTCCTACCGTTGCGGACTCTATTCACAAACTGGTTTCACGCTACTAGTTGGCCACCCGAAAGAGCTGTAAGTGAGCAAAACTACACGGTTCGTGGAATTACGTGCGTAGCTTTGCCCAAGAGGCACAAAACTGACAAACGAAAACCTGTATCAGAGGAGGCGTATGGCGGGGGGGGGGGGTGTCACTATCATATCATAAATGCCACACCACAAAGCGAGCAAATTCAATCGTTGCACATTATGCACTAAATATGGCAGATTTCACTTAGTCAGTAAACGCCTCGCCGTATGTGTATGGAGTTCGGCTAACTGATACAATCATTGGGCACCGTAGTAGCGGATGCTGCTACTAGTGAAGTACTTTACTAGTAATACCCTCCAAAAACAGACTACTTCTTGCCAATTCTCACGTACAAATAAATCTTATTTTCCAATTACACTTATTGTTAATAGTAGGCGATAATCGATAATTACTGCGACCAACTAAAAAACCGTCAGTCAGCAGAAAGCAGTATCAGTTGAAGCGTATCCTATATCAGTTGGGGCAAGAAAGCGACAAGATCTATATGTAAGCTCACAAAAAGGAATACCACACAGACAAACAGACGAATTCACATGAACCACATACACCGAGCGCAGGACGGCCTGCCGGCCATCATTGCGTCGTCGTACGGCAACTCGACTCACCCACTCACACAGAGGTACACGTAACTCTATCCGCCATCAACCGACTAACAGACCCGCCGAGCGACCATTCAATAAAGTGTAACTAGCACAGCGGCACACGTCACTGCAACCGCCCCCACATAAGATACCGCAGCTACGATTTGATGCGGCTAGCGAGATACCGTCGCAGGTTGCCTGCAGTCGTCTACTATCCAGCTATTGGCGTCGCATGAGCAAGTTCGCAAGGCTGGGCGTGAGGCTAGCGGGCATGTTGGAGTCAGATTCGAAGCCGGTCAAGGCAGTGGTGACCAGTGGGCCCGGCCGAAAAATAGCAAGCCCCCATCAGCAACGCCCGCAGATAGACAGTAGTACTAGCGGCAACAACAGAGCAGCAGGGTGATTGATACGAATGGCAGAAAGGCGGTACAAAAACAGGCAGGCACCAGCGGATGAGTGACGATGGACTACAGGCACCGGTCACAGCCTGGCTGAGAACGTCGTGGCCAGCAGGTGTACTCACCGGATGTCGGAGGTGGATCCGTGCCAGTCACTAGACGGCAACGAAGACTTGTGAATCACACGAAATCACCTCGAAAAACTCGTAGCAACAGTGGGGCCAGTGGCGCTCCCGAGGTAGTAACAGCGGTAGCAGTCAGGTCGGCCAGCAAGATGGCTGCCCCCCATTCGAGCCACGTAGAAACAACACCGCCGCCTGGCGCCAATTTTCGAAAGTGCCGCGTTGATTTGAATCTATTGGCAGAGCGTTCAGCTTGATAAATAAATAAAACAACAACAAAAGGAAGCCTGCATCCTGAGTTGAAAAGGCACTACTAATTTACGGGCATTAAATTCCTCTAACAGGTACCATTTACCGGTTAAGCGCTTGTAAATACTGACGCCCTATTTAATATACAAGTTAACAAGAGGTATTATAACGTCTGATGACGATGATAAAAACGATGTGTATAGAGTTAGAAAACATTTTTTTCCAATTTCTGCATTTAACGCATAAAAACAGAAACATTCAGGCCCACTGAATTGTCTCTATTCTGGAAGTATCAACTAGTTTTTAGCTATGTTTCGGTAATAGTCGCTTCGTCTATGTCCTATTAATTTGGATGGCGACGTCTGTTGCTCTGATTTCGGCATTAGGAGCTTGCAGTGTTATTTTAGGGACTGCGGTAAACCACCTCAGATAAAAAAACATTGGGCGCAGTTGGATGGAGATCACGATACAACGGACCAGACGATGATACAACGTGTGCATGTCCGAAAAACTTACTTCGAATCCCATGTTTACATGACACGTCCATAGGTGAGAGCCTGGGAAAAACGTCGTTTGAACTGCTCTTCGGGTACTGGACCATACTGCCCTGAACTTGCTCCTCAAAGAGCACCCTGGTGCGGGGATGCAGGCAGTCGAAATACGACGGATGCACGCTACTGGGTTGGCACCGCAATATGAAATGGAGATTTGAGCAGAAAAGTCTGCACAATGGGAGTTCTGTGGTGTGCTGGTAAGAGTTAATATATTAAGTTATCCCTGCCCCTGCCACTCTTTTATCATGGCGCCGCTGTTACAGACGTGCGAATTGTCAAGCATGATAGCTAACCGTGAAGGTAAAAAAAAACGGCCGTATTTCGGCAGACGTATCCGTGGCACCAAAATATGAGCAGTGAAAATGGTTTTACAAGTCGATTTATTACAGGTCTATGGTACACGTTGAGGTTGCCCAATGCAGAATAAATCGCAGAGCCATTCAACGTTATTGGGATATCGAAATTTGGACTCTTACTTACAAGTTGCGTGTAGAACTATCCGAACAAAAAACATTTATTTTTATTATTTCCTTGCATGTACTGGAAGCATTATTCCTAACGATCTTTATTTAATATAACCGTCATTCACCGCGATAACGTTTTTAGGGCCTACACTACTCACTAGTGCGTGCCTTTAATGCGCAGTTAACTTTTCAATAGTGCATCAAGCGATATTGGTGGGTATGCATTGTGTCGTTCAAACGCGCTACGTGCAAAAAAAATTTACCGTTAAATAAAATTTTAAGGTGAGAGCCATTAGTGTTTAAGGTTAGGAAGCGTGGGGTCAAAGTGAACGAGAGACAAAGCAGTTCTTATATAAATATTCGTTTCATGAAATTTATCTGTGCTAGTTTTTTATCGCGTGAATACACCTCATGGGAAGCTTTTTGTAATAGCTAAAAGTTGCACGGAAATACACAAAAAAAAGTAGTTGGTATTCAGGATGTCTGGTTCGAATCTTATCTGATCGCATTTGTTGTTATAGGAGATGTATCAAATTATGTAGATAAAACTAAAAGCCTATAAATATATATAAATCTAAAAGCTAAACTGGATAGTTTTGCCCTTAGAGGAACTACTAATAATGTTTTTTTTAAATATTGTAATACTAGTATTATTAGAAATATCGACAAAATAGCGAAAACGGGGCAGTGTGGATGCCTGTAGTAATAGTAAATTAAAACAACTCATAAACTCGGTATCTTAATAGAAGCATGATAGTCTGTGTGCCACGAGTACGAGAGAAGCTGCAAACGGGATGCAATCTGAATCATAACACCGAGTTTTATTGCTTATTCCTGTAGAATAAACGATGCGCTAATGCAACGTATCTTCAAGTGTATTTATTTAGCCTTGCTTTTAAACCCATCGACTTTGGCCAAAGGAGTGGGACAAAATGGGTATCTCAAGGCTTTCACATAAAACAAGTGTTTAGTGATAGAATATCTATAGCCATATCGTGAATAGCTTTGGGTTGCTGTTAATGGTTTCTAAAAAATTCAAAAAATAAATACTTTGATCCTACTTCCCCTCATAACAGGCGCAAAACGAAGTGGAAAGTCTCACAAAACAGGCAATAATGTAAACCATGTCACTATCAAATAAATAAACTTATAAGCTCGGTAGGGGGTTCGTTTCGGTGGTTAATAGCTGATCTTCGCATAGATTCCGAAAACGACAGTGATTTTAGCTAAGTTTGTTGCTTTGCTTTAGAAAGTACTGGTCTTCTAGTTCTAAGCATAGCCAATGAATGCATGCGTGCTGTGACAGCAGCCCGCCAAAGTTCGTCCGAGTTCGAACGCCCCACCCTGTGTATGTATGAGCAAATTGGAGAAAGTGGGGCTGCATAAGCCACTGCTTCCCAAATGTAATGAAACTAAATGCCGCTTATGTGAATTTCATGGCTTCAAAGAACAATTCAGCTTGATAGAAATGTGTATATGCCAAGGTATGGCATCATACCTATTGTACCACAAATACCTGTTGACAACGTGTCACATGTGATTGCACTTACAAAAAGTTTGACAATTTTATTGATATAGCGGATCGTTTCAGCAAAACAATACTGTTCACACATGCACTGCATTGCGAATACTCACCAGCTTAAGTCAGAATTTAACATGACTAATAATGTCATAAGCATGCATAGCCGTCATAGGTATATAGGCTTCCGTACAATCAAGTTAGCTTTGGAGAATTAGCTTTGGAGTACACACATTGTTACTGTTCCTCCTCACTTCTCTAACCAAGGGCGACTCGTGGATGTGTAAATACCTGGAGCACCCAAACCTAGCTTCATACTGCACAGCAGAACTTCATGTTAACCTGTGGTAGACAAATATTACCTACCTTTAATATTGCTTAAGCTGTTAGTAAATGATTATACAGCATCATCTTCTCTAGTGATGATCGTAGAATTGTGTTTCTAAGCATTGCTTTTGAAAGCATACTTATTTCAAAGGCACGCTTCGATAAAAAAATCCTCAGAAATGGAAACGCTTAATAATAGTAAATAATCTGTCCCGTTCGGCAGAAAGCATCGCTAACAGGATTGCTGTATAAAGTACATAACAAATACTAAATTTTTGCCGAAATTAACCTTTCCGGCAGGAAGTCTGTTCTTAGTCGGTTATCTAAATTAGTGAAATGCGCTATTAAGTTCTTCACACGCACGTTATTCATTCTATATGCCCAAATTATTTAACGGCGCTTCCAGTCTACTTAAAGCTTGCTTGAAATCACGTTGTTTTATCGCGGAATATTCCTTATCGAATTTTTTGAGCCTCAACCTCCGCTCAGCCTTGCTTGCTGGTTAGACTGCTTAGTGTAAAAGAGTATTTGTAAACATATATTAACTTAATTTTAAAATCTTTTCCAACAAAAATTTCTTAGCATCAACACCCTGCTAAAAGAATAGAAGTAAATGCTATATTGTATATATATTTACAGCATATCTTGTATCATTTACCATGAAATAACAGTCGATGAGGTTACCTTCGTAGCGCTAAACAAATACTCCTAACAAAGTAATATTTTACTTAAATACTTATGTAGGTACTGAAATAATATCATTATTTGAGACGTTTGTCATTTATTCTCCCGTTTCTTCCTCTCTCACGTAGATACAGTAGTGATCTGCAAAAAGCCAATGTTTATTTTCTACATGCTTACCCGCTTCTACTGCAACATCACTTACCTTGCCAACATTGGCATCGTAGAAACGTTTTACCGTGTTTAAAGTGATCTCACTACGCCTTTTCTGGCTCTAAAAGCAAATTAATGTTGCGTATCAATCCACATCCTAAGCTATTACCGTTCTGCTTTTATATTTACAGTGTTGGACAACGATCTTTTGTTTTCTGAGTCAACTTTTTTTTTGATTGACAAGATTGACCTTTTACATTAAGTAGAATGATGTAGCGTGGATATCTCTTGGGATATATCGTCCCGGATATAGACACATATGAAAAGTCTATACCACGCGATACTACAGGCGATAATCCCGATGCCATGGAACTTCGCAAAAAATAAGTTCATCTATTTTAATTAACTACTACTTTAGAATTTTAAAAACAAAACCAACACAATTAACTTGACCACTAATAAAAAATACTAAAGAAAAAGACGTAATAACTACGTTGTACATATAGAGACTCGACTACATGAGAAAAAACACTGTTGTCTTTTTTTTTGTAATTTTTATACAACCGCGACTTCATATTTGTTGCTGTTGGTATTTTTGTTGTTGCTGTTGGTGTTCTGTCGTTTTCCACTGATGACTTTTCAGTTATCCCTATGATGTGGCTATACCTCCATAGTTCTGCGACGCTCGTTCCGTTTGATCATCTTCATTACCGTGTCTTGTCGTTGATCCCGGTGGCGAAGTGTAGCATTTTCGTCGTATATTACATTTGAGGCTTGCAACTCAATTGAGAATAGTCCGCGCCACGTTTGACCACACCACGAATACACTACAGTTCCCGCAGCTATTTTTTTTTCGCGACAGGCTGTGGCTCGTCGTAGTGGGGGTCGAAGCCATATCTGCATGTGGCCGAACAATTCATGCTCACCCACATTGACGTTTCATTCCGTACGGTATCCGTCAGTCAGTCATCGTCGCCGTCGGATGGCTTCCTTCGGCGGCCAGCGCCTCCACTTCGAGGCACCACCGGGTCCCGGAGCGAACGGCGCCATTTACCAAACTCTGGCGCGTACACTTTCTACTTTCTTTCGCTGTCCCCTTTCCATTTTTCTTTCAACGTCTATCTAGGCTCATCAGCTCTCGTCCTGTCCCATTTGTTTTATTAGTGTTGTTTCCCGACCCGCCTTTCACGTCCCTCCCACACACATCGAACTACTAAATCATGTCACCAAACGGCGACCACCTTTTAGTGTATGTATAATAGTGTATGTACCGCCTAGCCATTTTCACGATCAGTATTATCTGCCCCACGATTTGCTTAGCACTCCTCTTCCATGTCGACATTCTTTTCTCGTCGATTATACTACCAGCTCAAGCTTCATACTTTATTCCGTAGCACGTGTGCACGCCGTTGTTCTTTTCGTGTCGCTTCGTACGTTTTGTCCAAAAATCGTTTTTCCTCTCTCTCGCTCTCGCGCGCTCTCTCTCTCTCTTTCTCTCGTTCTCTCTCTCCGTCTTTTTCTTCTCGTGTCCTCTTTCTGATTTTGTTTCCGCTCTGTAGTATTTTTTTGTCTGTTTTACTTGTGATGTTTTCTTTTCTGTTTTTCATGATGTTTTTTCTTTTTTTTTTGCCATCTCCTACTACGCTCTGTTTGCTACTATGACCTTAATCGACAAGTGGCCAGAAGCCCTATCAGTCATCTTTTTCTTTAGTTCTACATCTCTTTGTCTTTATCCCTTAGTCTTAGCCACTTTCTCCATTATTATCGTCATTATTATCAATATTATCAATTCATTTATTTTCTGCAATGAATCGTTATCATCATCCTTTTTATATTCGCCTCCGCAGTTTATCTCCGTCAATCTACCTATCTAAGACAGGGGAGCGGATGTTGCCGCGCGCAATACTCTTGTTGTGTAGAAAGTATTCATTCACGTTTTCCATACTATTTATGATACTATTTAACAACGGATAAATTTCAATGAAAAAATTTTGCGTCGCAGATGTTTCTGATGCCAATGCTGCGTTAAAAGATTGCAGTAATTATTGCTCTGATATAATGGTAATAGATACAACACAATGCGATTAACCAAAGATTAGATGAAGGCGATGTACCACCCCATACTGCACCGTGGCCGCTTTCGTTCTGCCCATGCCGCCGCGCAGCCTGACCGAGTTCAGCACACGTTAATCTTAACGCAATCACACACGCACACACAGAGCCCGCCGGTTCCTGACTACTACCGTCTGCGACAGCGGAACAATGAAAAGGCCGTCGGGGGGCGGGTAGGGTTAGGACTTTGAGCTTCGCGCGCAACAACAAGGCCGCGCCCATTTTCAGACCAGCCACCTCGTATATAATGCGATGGTGACCAATCTTTGCCGATCTCTCTGGCAACGGGTCGTCAGGGCAACCTTGTGGGAATCTCCGCTAAAACACGCCGTCATTCCTTAGCCTAAATCGCACCACGTCATCGCGTCCGCTGGCTACACATTTGCAATATTTTCTTTTCATTTAACACTGGCGTGAGTGTCACACTCCCTCTATAATTATTACTACACCTACTACATCCCGCCTCGCACATTTTGTCATCGACATCGTCGTTATTATTATTCTTCTTACTATTATCATCGTCATCTTCTTTATTATTCTCTTCAGCAAAATCATCATTATCTTCATTATCATCTTTCCTGTCCGTTCCTACCCTACTTTCAATCTTTCTTTTCTCTTTATTTATAGCTACCTAGAACTAAAAGCGAACAGGCAAACTTAAAATTGTTGTTATCGGTGTTTTTTCTGATGTTCCTGTTGTTATCTTTCTTTCCTTGTTTTCGGATCTCCTCTGTCCCGATGAAGGTTTGCGTCTTTGTTGTAGTTTGAAGTGTCTGACCGGATCATTTTTATTGTTTACCCGCCCGATGAGAAGGAATATTTGAAATCAATCTGCCACCGCCCACCCAACCACTACAAAACCACATCTTTTTTAAATAGTAATAATAATGTGTATGTATGTCGAAGGTCTGCACTTGTATTTGCCAGACACTACGCATGTGGTTCTGGTAGCTACGCAAAAATTTGGGTTTCCCCTTTCCTCATCAATTCCAGAAAATTAAGAGCGGTTAGCGGTAAAAGTCAACTCTTTCTCGGAAAGTGTGTCTGTGTATACGAGTGTTGTTATATCGTTGCGTGTTGATATAGTTGTGATAATTCGAGACTGTTGGTCTGTGTCTATGAATGAATTCGTCAATTCAATCCCTTGGGTGCTGTGCTATGGCTTAATCGTCATAAAGTTTGCCCATAAATGATCGACGCCACTAATGACGCAATAATCAATTACTATCGTCGTACTTAATTCGCTTTTATGACTCTAGGTGACATAATGGTTTGTTACTCTCTGGCTTTCTTGGAGAGGCGGCAAAAAGTTATTTCTGTTAACACCGCTGCTGCGTGCCCCCTATTAGTACTAACCATCTTTTGATCATCTTTATTGTTATAATAATTCAAAACCATCATCAACATTGTCATCATTATTATCGCCGTGATCATCGTCAATCAGTCAGTCACTATCAAGAGGGAGGCATCATCAGCGTTAGCATCATGATCAGCATTATTATTACCATTACTATTATCGTCGTCATAATCTTTGTCATCGGTTCATCAGTTTCATCGTCAGCATTATTACGATTATTGTTATCATTATCTTTCATTATTATTATTACCCTTTTTCTTCATCTTTTTATTAGTATCATCATCATTATTATTCATCATTATCATTAATCATCTCATGTTATTAGGAGGCACTGCTCTGTTTTTGTTGCTGAGTTTGCTGCGGGAAAGGTATCCTGCTGCTGGGGGGCAAGACAGAAGGTAGCGACGAAAGTGGCTGAAAGTGTCTGAACCAGGGCGGAGGGAGGTGTTTTATGGAAGTTCGTGTTGACCATCGTTTGTACACAACTCCCGCCGTCGAGGCATACATTGCCACTGGACTGCTCGATCGCACTGCATGACAACTGTTGTTCGTGATATCCGGCACACACTTGTCCGTCGTGTAATCACTTCGTTGCGTGGGCGTTACTCGAAGGAGTGCCATGCAGTGTTTGTGAGCGGGCCAGCCGCTTTGTGTGCTGTTTTCGCGCCGCATCAATCGGTAGTAATAGTGGTGGTAGTAAGTCGCATCTCATCAGTCGATCATCAGGCGATCTGTCAGTCAATCAGACAGTCAGTCGGTCAGACATACAATCATCAATTACGTACCAGTTGATCACGTGTTTCATTATCAAGTTATTCATGATCAACAAAATTAGCATCATTATATGTTATTGTGCTAGCAGCAACTTATGTTTTTAATTTTCATCATCTCTTTTTACTAATCAGCATTTCACTTCGCATCAGTACTAAGTATTTGCTGTGGCGCTTGGTCAAAACGACCAAGAAAAACTATTCAGCTAGCACGTAGTTTCAAGGCTCATTAGCTGGCGCGGGTTCGACTAAATCGGTTGTCAAGTCGTTGTCAAAATTGGCCGTACTTCTTCCCAAAAACTTAGTCAATAGTGACTGACTCTTGTGCATCTGCGCAAATGTTAACGTGTCCATATGTGATTACGTGTGTTCGTGAATATAAACAAGAAACCACAAAATTAGGCAAACCACGAACGAGATGGATTGCCTTATCTTCTAATAAGGTTAATAGACGGCAACTGCGGTTAATTTGATGTACTTCTAATTAAATTTGTATTCGACCCTATATCGATGGCGCATAAACTATTCACTGTAGTGCAAAGTCAGGTGTTAGTTATTTGTTAATTAATCGGGAAAATTAGTGCAAGAGGTAAAAAAACACGGGTATATTATTCCATTCGTATTCATCAGAAAAGAAAGTGGTTCTGGACGACCTTTGACACCTCACGACCCCAGAAGATAAAGATTGTTCACCCACCAACGGTTATCACCCTGTCGCAGTAGCGTTCACTAGGTATTATCGACAAAAGGTTTTTAATCGTCGAGATAAGATCCCAATGAGTCTAGCGCAACGCTCAAATCTACTAAACTTAGACATATAATTTTATACGTTACAGTAACTGGCATCACAACGCTATCGTGAATATCGTTCATCTTCAAAGCCAATAGAGCTGGATCTTCGAAATCGCCCACTGGGAATAAACTTGAACGTACCCGCACTTACTGATGCATACGATAACTTGTATGATAATATGATAATCTCATAGGTAATCTCACAGAGAAGTCATGGTTTTCGGCATATTTAATACCGAATCATCGACATCAATCAAGAACCGCAGCCTTAATTTATTGTATTAATTCAATGCAACACAAAGAGTGCGCTTCTAGTAAAGATTTGACTACGAGGCAAGTCAAAGTTTTATTATTCTCCTGTGCTAATTAAATGAAATATCAGCAATGTCTCGAATTAAACCGATCGCAAAAAAACCCGCGGCTTTTTGTTCTTACGCAACAATAAATTTAGTTGTAGTAGTAATGTGATGATCACTTCATTCTCTTGCTTCTTAATTCAGATCTGATTACTTGCGCTAATGTTTTCAGTTACTGGTATGCTATACCAGTCCTATTTCAGTTATGGTGACGTCGTTCATTATCAGCAGTTTGCTACATCGTTAGCATAGTGTCCCTGCCTAAATTTTTCTTTTTATATGATAGCAGTCTTCGGCGTCTAGTTTACTCATGTTGTTTTGTATATACTCAACATGTCCTCCTTTTATATTTCATATTATTCGGTCATTATTATCATTGGTTTTCTAAGCACGTTCTCTGTTTTCATAATCATCATCGTAACCCTCATGATCGTAATTTCATTACTGTCTCTGTTATTATTATTATTATTATCATTTCTGCCTTCTTTGCATTTTACTCATTTTTTATTACCATCAGTTCTGCTTACCATCGGTTTTGTCTTTTTTTTTTTTTTTAGAATTTTTCCTCAGCACTTTTTCCTGTTTGTCCGGTTTTCTGCACTCTTTGTTGGCGTTATGCGTTTGTATTTTTCTATGATGCTTCTTCGTTTCGTCTATTTTAGCCGGTTGGTGGGCGGGGCAGCACAGGTCAGTGTGATCTTTTCCCTCTGTTCGCTCGTATACCTCTCATGTTTATCCCTGTATCGTTTTCTTTCCTTCGTTTTTAGTATGTAACTGTGGATCATCTGTGTGTAGATTTTGTATTCGTATATTTTGCTTAGAAAAACGCACACACTTTCTTGTCGATCTCGATGTAAATGTGTTACGTTGTCTTCAGTTTTATTATAACTGTTGTTGCTGAAGTTGTTGTCGATGTTGTAGGCCGTTATTCATTATTTCTTTATATCTGTATGATGTCGACCATAATGTGTTCAGTGTTCACCACGTACCACATGATGCCGTAGTTCCTCGGAGAGATGACCATCTCGACTTAAGGACGGCTTTCGTGTGTATGTGACCAATGACTTAATCTTTTACTCTTTCATGCATTCACACATTCGCTCCCTTACTTTCATACATTCTCATCTTTTCTTTTTACGCAGTTACTCGGTTTGTCAATGCGTCATCATCTCAAATACTCTGCATGTTTTTGTTTCACGCGCACAATCGGATTCAAACCTGACTTTTCCGAGAGATGGCTTCCGGTGGCCAAGCAACGGTATAGTCGAGCCAAACTTCAACCTGTCTTTTCGGCACCTTCTTGCGTTATGCTGTTTTTATTTGCCTTGCCGTTACGTTTTTCAGTGTCAGGAAACGAAACCTACCTCCCGCTCCTCCTTCTGTTTAATAAACCCACAAAGGAAAACGTTCGCCCCGGAGGAGTGTGGCTGCTTGGATTTCCAGAGCAAGTTACCCCCTGGCCCTCATTGCACTCATTGCAGGCTAAAACAGTTTCTACAAGAGGTAGTTGGGCGAGAATGCCGAAATTCACAGTTCTTGATAATTTAGTTATTTATCTCTTACTGCATTACAAAGATAAAATAACAACAAAGCAGATCATTAAAAATAATTTCTTTAAATTACCTCGTACAACTACCACGTGATGAGATACGCAAATAGCCACCGGAGGACACCCGGGAGAAACGGTCAACTCATTTACCTCTATGCTGATTACGACGTAGCATAATCACATGTCAACGCTGCAATCGTTCATTACGTTTTCTTCTTCTTAAATTATCTTTCTTTCGACACATTCTCTCCTTCTTTAGTCCACTGTCTATTCATCGTTACCATCGATATCATCATCGTCTTCATAATCATCTCAATACGCTCATCATTATTATCTTCATTTTTCTCCTAAACCTACTAACCTACTAAGAAGGAGCAGCGGGATAGCAAATCTGCGCGGGGCGCAATCACAGGTGCACAATATTGAGAAGCTTGCACTCCTCGACACTTCTAAACCTTCTCCTCTATCTTCGTTAAAATCTGCTTAGTACATCATCACCACCTGTTAGGCGTTTGTTTAACAAATCCTGTTTTCTTGCGGTATTCACCTTGTCCGCCACTATCGCCCACCTAGCTTCTTCTTTTATTTTGCTTCGTCACCTGCATAGTCGTCATGGGAACAAATATGCCCAGCTGCTGGGTTATTAAATTCGCCGTCTCCATACGTGCTTCTTACCCTTCAGGATCGCGGCAAGCGTCAACCAGCCATTTCCATCCTTCATCCCTTCCCACATCGTCCTTGAGAACGTTACTCGTAGGCTGCGTCTACCAAGTCAAAACCTGTATCAGGAAGTTTTTCCACCTTGCGCGATCTATCTTGATCTTGTTCGTTCCACTCTGTGCGAAATGCTTTCTGTCATCTGTCGTTTTTAGTATTATTCAGGTCAAAATTCCTGTGTTCCTTTTTCTAATTCTAGCTGCTGCCACAATCTGCTTGCCATTTTATCACCAAAATTACTAACTTTCTTTGTATTTTCCACACCTCAGCGACCCGCCATCTCGTCAGATAGGCTCGAGCTTCACCTGGGTAAATCCTATATCCATCCCGTTATTTTCATATTCATTATTTTTAGTGATGGACCATTGTTCTCACGATTCCTGTTGGGGTGTTGTCCCATAGGGTTCGATACCATTTTGGCCAATTAGACCCCGGGCAATCCCCGCTCCGCCGCGCAGACAGCCCCCCTGAAGCCCTTCGGTACTTGCTCCATTTTTTGCTTCTCCTGACGGCATCGTCGATCATCTGTTCCATTTTACACATGCACGCACGCACTTTCACACAGCTTGCTGTTATTATTTTTTTTCACTCGCACTCACTTTTCATCCCAATCACCAATTATTCATCAAATCGACAGAGAGTTTGAGTAATTTTTATTTTGCTGCTCTTATTATGTTACTTTTTCTTGTTGTTACTGTTGAGTGTCGCTGTTCCTGTTGTTGTGATTGCTGCAAATATGCTTGTTGTTCTTGTTCCTGTCAATGTCATCACTACTGTTTCCAGTTACATTATTCGTATATATTTTTTGTGAGGTATGACATGAAGTCATATTCTAGAAAGGTGTATATTGGTCCATACTGACATTGTCACAAAGAAAACGCCAGTATGGTTGTCATGTACCACAAGATTCCAGCTTTAATCGTATTAATATATTCTCGTCGTGAGTTTTATTTGAACCAATAATAACTGTCGATTTCCCATGTCTATATTCTCTGTTTTTGTAATCACCGCCCATCTCTTCGTTACGGTTGTTCTATCTTTCTTGTTGCTTCTCTCTCTGCCTGTTATTGATACCATATCATAGCTGTGCTGCTTTGTTGTTTTTAGTTTTGCTGCGTTGTTGTGGTTGTTGTTACTCTTGTTGCTGTTGTGTAATTGGTTGTCTTTATCGTTATTGTTGTAACTGAAACATTCGTTTCGCGTTGTGGTTTGGGGGCACAAGGGTAGAACAGATCAAAGGGTAACTCTGTTCACTTCTGTGCCTGCGCTCCCTGCCCTCCTCCCGCATTGCCACCCTGTCCGCCTGCTGCATTTGAAGTGCCGTTGCCTGTGGAGCTAGCCGCCGGATACTGGTTCGAAGACTGACTCCCTGAGGATGACTGAAACACCTATAGAAAAACCCATTTGTAAGTATTTAAAAGGTAATGATGACAGATGGAAACTATTGTGGCTGCCGTTTGACTATGCCTACTCTAGCCGTAAATATCGATAATGAACTCGGAACGGATATTGGCTATATATATATATATATATATATATATAACGGAACATCATTAAAAAAATATTAATTTTTTTTTTATTGTATTAACGCCTGTCAACCTGCGCAATGCAACACTGTTTTGTTTAAACAGACATGTTGCATTGGCAGCATGTTTATTTGAACAAAACTTCTTTACTGAATGCCACCTCTAAGTCAAAACTTTTCTATGTATCTTTTAATTGTATTGACGAAAGGAAGACTATTTATGGCTGTGAAATATCTCAGTAAATGAAAAGCCAAAAATTATTATACAAGTATTTTTAAGGACACGTGCCTGTTGTTGCTGCTGGGCGTCTTGCTGGGGATCAGCCCCAACACCTGAATCAACCGATGCGGGCCCCACATCGGTACCGTTTGTCGCTGCCGCCGGCAGAGACGGCAACATCGCCGCAGTCATATATGAGCCTAAGAAAGACATAGTTTTGTCATGTAATGGTTCATGTCATGGCTTGCCTTTAAGAACTACCTCAACATTAAATGGACCGCTAAATATAGCTAGCCTATTATAGGCATTGCTAAGATGGAAATAAGCAACCGGTGACAGGACAGAGAATCGCATAAAGTACCAAATAGGATTTCTTTGTAGTCTTTGTACGACGAAGTACGACGCGGTATAATCGACAGATGGCAACAAAGGTGAATAGAGCGAGTTTGGGTGAATTCAAGAAAATGGAACATCAGCCAAAGCGGTGGCTTGAATGGTTTAACGAAATATCCTAGTGAATAAAAAAAGCGCTTCTATAGGATTAAGGTAAGTGCAAGGTAAGTTTTGACATCGCATAGTTGATATGAAGTTCGTTCTTAGCACTCTTTTCATAATTAATCCGTGTTATGTGTATTTAATATATGTATAGTTGCTTTGAGTTCTTACCGGCGGCAGCTGCAGCAGCAGTGGCCGCGGCGGCATTGTAGTGCTGGACGAGGTGATGCTGCGGGCCCGGCGCGTGAGGCGGCGCTTGCAGACTCAGCTGCTGCATTTGCTGCGCCAGTTGGCCGGCGGGGCCGAGACCAACGTGGGCGGCATAGAGTGTTGCTCCATCGAGGGTGGCCGGCCCGAAACTATGTGGATGGGCACTCGCATGTGGTCCGTGCGGACCGTGTGGTCCTGAGTGGGGCGCAGGACCCGAGTGGATAATGTACTGAGCTGGCGCCGGCGGTTGCTGTTGACCAGCCATGTACGCCCCCAGGAGTGCGGGATCGCCTGCTACTCAAATACACACGAATAATACGACAAACAAAGAAAGTAAATAAAGAAAGAATAGAAGTATCGCGTCGGACTGCACACAACAGTGGCTTTAATTAACATTAAAAAGAACGCACATAAACTGGTCAAGAAAAAGGAGTAGGTAGCATGGCTTGACTTGTTGTATTGTTCAAGAAATTACATTTTTCGATTTGTGTTTCCGACGAGGTACACAACTCCGTGGATGGATATGTTATATATACAATACAAATGTACTGCTGAGAATCTAAGGCAGCTATTTTCGTTGTAACATGAAAGTTTCCTTGCAAAATTAAACTAGTTGCGTGTTTACTGCAGTCGACTAACTTTGTTAGTAAATCATATATACATCTAATAACCACGGTCAGTATGACCAAAAGTCGTATCGAATTTTTTATATTGGATGCTCGGAAATGCGACTTAGCTCAGCCTAAATCGTCCAAGTGCGAAACAAGTAATTGGACTGGTAATCTCTGCCCTCTAAAAATTAAATCTGCTTAAAAGAGACAGCTGCTATTCATCAATCATAAACATTCTAGATACTTACTGTAGATTCCATTTGCTTGCATATACTGAAGGGCACCGCCAAGCTGGAGAGCGCCCCCGGCCAGCTGAGGATGGGGCGTCCCGTAGGGCGCCCTAGCCTGGGGGGAAACATGGAAGCCCGTCGTTTGCACTAGCCCAATGGGCGAGTGCTGCGACACAAGTCCATCAGCGCCGTACAGTGCGGCGGCCTCGTCGGCGGCGCGCGGGGCCCACTGGCCACGGCCTCCGTGGGCTCCGTGACCGCCGTGAGCCCCGTGGTGGCCGGCGTGTCCGTGCTCCCCCTGCTGACCTGAGGCTGGGCCACCTCCATTATGGTGGACCATTTGACCCCCGTGGTGTCCTCCGTGATGGCCAGAACCTTTCGCCCCTCCTTCGTGACCAGGCCCGCTTCCATTATGTTGGCTGTGGTGGCCCACATGGCCACCATGGCCTCCCATTGGCCCGTGTCCGTACCCGCCTTGCATCGCTTGCTGCTGCTGAAGCCTGCAGCAGCCCAGAAAAAAAGACGTCAACGAAGATGGGTATTACAGAAGATCGAACAGATATATCGAAAGTAAGGGTGAAACGAATAGACACATAATGAATAGTTATACGAATAATGGTAATGGCGATTATTGTATATACTAATGCTTGTGAATGACTAACTGAAATAATAATTAATGACGGTGAAGATTTGGTGTCGACGAGATATATATCTAGTTATGATAATATTATCAATGTTGAAGCGAGATATGGATATCTTGCTTCAATATTGATATTAGATTTCATTATTCAACAGATTATCATATGACGAATGTGTGTACATATGTTTTTCAGTACTTATGACACAATAGATTGCGCTGTTGAACTTCATCGACACAAGCTAAACATTAGCTGATTTGATGTATAGTGTGTACGAAGAGGTATATAATAAAAAAATTAATTATAGACAATAGCAGCACGTGGCCTTACTTGTCGATGCTGTGAACGTACCTCTTTTTGTTACCGCCGTCAGCGAACTTGACGAGCAGGCCCTCGGTGCTGCCGTGCAGCGTCTTTCCGTTGAAGAGATGGATGATGTGCTCGCACTTTTCCTTGCTCTCCATCCGCGCGAAGCCTACACCTCGGCTTTGCATGTTCGCGTCGCGGAGAATGCGGGTCGAGATGACGCTGCCATGCTTCGACAGCATGTTCTCCAGGTCCGTCTCGGACATGTGCGCCGGCAGGTTGGCTATGTACAGGTTTGTGGGATCCGGCTCGATCTGGCTGTTCAGGCTCTGCGAGGACGACACCTACACCACGTCACACGACGGCATCGACCAGAACACGACCAGAGCACCCACCAACCAGACCACGGCAAGCGGCACAGTAGTTCGGGGCCAGCAGAGAGAGCAAACCGGTCGGTCAACTAGCTATCCTATGCTGACCGTTACCTAGCTAGCTAGCTAGCTAGCTAGCTAAGCCGTCTTCGCGGCAAGAGGTCTGGCAAACACGGCAAGCAGCTATTCCATTCCCAGATGCAGTAGCTGCTGTACAAGCCATGTCAACGGTGACACAGTAAAGTGGTAACGCTGTGCGCGACCAATGCGATCGTCAAAACAATCAAAGGGGACACTCGTAGCAGACAGTGCCTTATACACACATACAGACTAGCAGAGTTGCCGATTGAATTTTGAAAACTGTGCATGGCTGTCCACTAAGGTACGCTGCGCTAGAAATGTAGTCATTAGTCGGTTGATTAATGAGCACTTTAATGTAGAAAGAATGTAATTTGTATTTAGCAAAAGTGTGAGCTAAAAGCAGCGACAGCAGTGGAGCAAGATGCTGTTCGCAGTTCTGTGTGTATGAAGATTCTGTCCGTACAGGTGCAGCACATGAATGCTTGTTATGATCGCCGAATCTTTTTTGTGTCACCTTCATGGCCCGAGCGTTTGCGCATGCCACAGCCTCTTCCGCGGTCAGCCATTTGACATCAACAACAACAGCTGCGCACATGCCAACAACTTCGCCGCGATCAGCGGCACCAGCAGCAGCTGTGCATGCCACACACACATCTCCAATAATTTTTTCCTTATCTAACTCATTATCTCTCTATACTTTGGCCATCCGACTCAAAAAAGTGGTGCACATGCCACGCCGCTGCGTTAGCTATCAGTTCAGCGCCCTGCCCTTTTACATGCAATTACCCCATCATAAATTTTGTATATATATATTTTTTTTTGCACGATAATACTACCTATACGATGCAACAATAACCTACGCTGTAAGTAAACAATTGAAGTTGCAGGTTAGAAGGCATGCCATGCTTGACATCGTGCCCTGTATAGGCCTGCTTGACACCTGCGACTGCCACTGTGCATGCCAAATTGCTTGCTAATTCACATCCATTGTAAACGACATACAAGCATCCAAATATTTATTAGGACCCAGCTTTATGAAATCGGCGCGACAGTTGTCCCTTGGAAACGAGAAGTCAAGCCCATGTGACACAACCCCATGTATCTGTAATATAGCTACTGAGAATTTGGCAGGTGGTTGCAGGATATTGCTGAACAAAAAACTACGTTCAAAAGAACGACCTAAACACAGATTTGTTTATTTTTCACTAACTGGTAAAATAATCAGTGTTCTAATAATATTCGCTTCCCAAATACTTGGAAGGGATATATTTGTACCAATGTGAGGCCCATATAAATAATTATCAAACAAAATGAAGATATCAAAACACCCGACTTAACCCAGAAGTAGATTTCCTTCTATATTCCATATGAATTAATTTTGTCTCGTTCACTAGCTTGATTACCTTTAACTGTAATCATTGACAAACAAAACAAATTGCAATGCCTTGAGCAGGCACTCCTCACCAAGAGACATTCTCTCCCAATGCGCCGCTCTTGAGCTCGACACGCAGTTATGACAATAACTAGGTGTCGTGACGTCTACATTCGCATGCTACGACTTGCCTTGGTATTTCTAAGCAAGCAGTCGGAACAAATATGCCACACTGCGTATTGGATTCTAGCGCACGGCTGCCGGCGGCCTCAGTCGACACACGTCTCTTTTTGTGTGACAACAACCTGGCAACTGCAGCAACCTGCTCGTGCTACCTGATATAGGCTACATGGAGGCACTAGAGAACGCTGCATGCCATGCTTACGAACGCATCACTGGCATGTCGAACGGAGCCCCCACCACTGCGATGAGGACATTCGACCACGGCTCTACCAACGTCACAAGACACACGTCGTTACGTAGATACGTGCGAACACTCATAGCATATATATGTGCATATATATATTTGGTCAGCAATAAAAAAATAATTTTCTGACTTAATCACAGATTTCACTTCTTTTACCTTTCTATTGTATTAAGTTTTTTGGCAAACTAGGTGGTCAATTTACAAGTTAGATATTTGCGCGATACGTTAGGAAATCTATTAGTAAAATTGTAGTACTTGCGACGTACTCTGCTACAACAAAACAAAAATTAATCAAATCGAATCTTTTGTTCAGAATTATTCTTTTCTGAAGACAAAAATCTGGACGTATCGACTAAGCTTTTGGTATGCTCTAGTTTAGTATATCTGTTCACCCTGGGCAAAAAGGTTTATTTTGAAATGAAGTGCACATCTGTCAGATCTAAGTAGTATGCTGCCACAAAGGCCTGGTCAAAGTTAACTCTCTGCTCTTCACCAACAAATGTGCCACTTGATAGAAAACCGATAAGAAAGAGACTCTTGTATTTTGGGTCCTCTATTTGTTTACCGCGACTCACCTTAGCCATCTGTGCCTGGATCCCTTGCGACAGCAGAGCTTTAACCGCGCTTTCGGCTTCAGCCGCCGTATTAAAGTCCACGAATCCGTACCCCTTACATTTTTGTGTGTCCTTGTCGAGGATCGCTTTGGTTGAGATTATCGTGCCATAACTGAAGTAATGTACACGCAAACACATATGATCAAATAGTGAAAAATAGATTGCAACAGACAAGAACAATGGGACATCCCAAACCATTCATGAATACATCGTATAAACATCTGGTTTTTAAAGGGAAGTGTTTTAGGCAGGCAAGAATATTTTCTGGTCATCGAACTAGTTATGATGTACTTAGCCTTCATTATCAACATTACAGAATATATTACACCCTTGAGTGATCGTTATGAAGGAAGGCATTGGCAGAAATAGTACAGTTTCATCTTAAGATAGATTTACTTGTGAATTTATATTACTAAAAATAACGTCTATTATCAAAATACTTCTGACTCCATCGGAACAGCGAGCAATCGACCTATTGTTATACTTATGATAGCTATAGCCGTGACAATCAATAACTTGATGCAAGGTGACACGCTACCAAATGAACCAATGCAACCAGCTCTCGTTCCATTGCCGGGCCATCTACGTTACATGATTTCCCTTTCGACCATCGACTCAACTGAACAGCGTAAACTTCTTGGTATAACCATACATAAAACATATCTGCATTCCGACCTATGTACTAGACCCTGTTAATGCTTTTTACGACGTTTCAGCGCATTGTAGAGCAATCGCATGTTTTTTATGTCTCGTACATTATACGTAGACATCTGCAGGAAAAATTACTTAAAATGTGGTTGAAAGAAGGTCTGCGTCACTCTGCATCTCGGCTCATTTGCGTAAAATACTAGATACACTGACAAGCTACTTTCATCTGTGTTACTATGGGCTGGTACACCTTCATCCTGGAGTGTGCTGCGCTGTATATTCTGTCAATTGATTGAATATTGTTTACGAGTGGGCTTTTTGCTTGTCATCACTCTCCCTGGTCCACTTCTTTGTTGTTACTACAGTGACCAAATAATCCACTGAAGGTAAGCGCAGGCCAATCTTTGCGGATGGCAATCATCATCCATCAGTTTAACAAATAGGATTTATTTTCGCGTAGGAATGACACACACTAACCTGGTGGAATTGAATCAAGCGTCAACAGTCCTAACCTAACAAATTTTTAATAAGTACGAGTGCTCGTGATATTATTACATTGGAAGACCAATGATCTTTAATTCGATGACCAATATCGCGGCTTGCTAAAAGTCAACTTACGGGAGACAGAGGTTATACAAGTCGCGATCAGTCGTGTTCTGCGTAAGTCCTTTAATGTAAAGATTAGTCTTTGACAACTCTTGCGCTTGCTGGGGTCCCGCCATACCAGCGAGACCCGCCATTCCGGGTTGTCCAGCAACGGCGTGTGGACCGAGTTCCTGACCGGCGTGGCCGCCCGGACCCTGTGGGACCTGAAGTGCCATAGGGTGACCGTACATCGCCTGTGGGATGGCCTGCGGATAACGAACTTGCGGCGATGAATTCTGCTGGTGGTAGTAGTAGTAGTGTGTTCCTGCCGGGGCGGCGATTAGGCCAAGTGTGGTCTGGCCGCCAACCTCTTCGCTGGTACCGTTTACGTACGCCCCTCCACCGCCACCACCTCCGCCGTTCATCTGGTGACTATTCGCAACCATCTGAAATCAAAGGAAGATAGACGATAACAAGCAACAGTTAAATGTTTCTTGCAATTATAAGCAGACAATATAGATGCATGGATTCGTTGTATTTTGATGTGGAGTGAGCAGACAAATGCCGCATCACTCAGGTAAGCATCAGAGATATACGAGAGCTATTAATACAGAATTAGTGTTACAAAAATGTAAATAGAGATTATGTGGCCGTGGAGTATAATGCAGAATAACAGAATAACTCACACGCTTGAGTTAGCGGCATTATGTCTGTTCTTAGGTGGGTTTCTGTAGGTTTCTCGTACTCCACCACCGATGTCTGTTTTACTTCACATAACGTTAATCGTCATTGTACTGAAAATGGCCACGACCAAGTAAATTTTCATTATTTTGTTTTTAAAAGGAAACTTGGTCTTCTGGAGAAGATTCGAAAGATGAGAAGCAGTATATTATATTGAACAGATACTCCCAAGACAGCCATTGCTACGACGTAGCTGGCTAAGCAAAAGCTCTCCACCCAAAGAATAATTTCAACAGTTTCTTCCCGCAGAGTACAATCCGCAACAATCAAACCGAATACCAGTTCGTCGCAAAGCAGATTTATTATAATATCATTGGACATGTCGCTTTCTATTGATATGTTATGAAACCATTCTTTTGCTCGTTCACACACTGCTCTTTATGTCTCTGTATGCGCTGAAAAACAGAGCAGTACATCAGATATTCCCACTGCTTAGTTTTGCTAACACTTTTTTCATCTAATGCAACATAGTTTACGCTAATCCAAGGCTTATAGTAAAACTAAATACTAAATAATAGTGATGATGAGCCCACAAAAAGGATCTGTTTGTTCTAATGACCCATCGCTGCAAACGGTACCTAACACGACGGTATGTCATTACGGTAGATATGCTGGATACATTGAAATCCGGAATTGTAGATCTCAGACAAGACACAAATACAATAGCAGGCTTATACTCAAATACAGAAACAATTCGAAGCTGTACAACAAGCACCTCAGCTGGTTCATCAAATTCAACTACTCTTTCATTATGAATTATTAATTTCCCATTCATATATAAGAAGAGTAATTCATTGCTTTGTTTATAACCTTGACCTTGTATATATAGTAACAATATAAACTATATATAGTTAAGACGTTGACACATGCTTACTATGTTAAAATCTCTGATCTTTTTCAGTCGATGACATTTATGCGGAATGAAATTTCGCAATGCGTCCAAATCGTTTCACTCCCTCCTCATAATGCAGTCATCTCAAGGAATAGCATGTCATGCAATGCATGGCAGCACGCTGAAAATTCGGGAGTACCTGCGGTAAAACGAGACCAAAACATGTCTTCAAAACCGGCAGACGGGGCAGCTAACAATTGTAACTTCTAGCCGGACACGGACGCCATTTTATAGATACTGACATGACACTTAAGTGACACGCAAAACGGAGGCAAGGATCAAGTAAAATGCGTACAAGGCATGCACACATGTTGACCAGAACAATTATACAGACTTTAAATTTGTTTTATTTTTCCATAGACAGATTATAGTGAATTTAAGCCTAATCAGCAACAACGGTAGCTCTTCAATCATACTTCAATTGCCAATTGAAATGGCTAAAACAATCGCCAGCATGTTTCTACTTGTGACGTTTTCACATACAAAGTCGTAACTTGTAAGCTTTCTCAGGCTTGAAACCCCTATCGCCCTCCCAGATGAATGCGGCACGGATCAGGATACATAAAGTAATTTTCTTAGAATGTGCCCATTGAGCACTACTTTACGACCTGTGTAACATCAGTTGACTGTCGGAATTTAGGATCAATGTTGGCTCCAATGGTAACGGTACCTACATTAGAGCGCTATAGTTTGCCATACTAAAAATCATAGCAGGTAAAAAGAAATGACAACCGAGTTGGCATTGCGCAGGTTTTTTTCTTAAAGTATAGCATTAAGACAGAGCAAATAGTCGAGCTAATCACAGAAGAAATAAAGGCACGAGTGTCTCAATTTGACGCATCTGTGCGAGGAATTATGAAGAGTGGATGGAATTATTATTAAGAATACGGCCATTGGATGCAAAGAACAAGTTAGATCGCAGTACAAATACGCATACGAATTCAACTACCATTTCTGCAAAAGGTAATAAGAAATTTGAGTCGCAGCTTTTATTGAGTATCACATGTTTTCTACCCCGTAAGACTAATCGATCCCATACTGGAAGTCAAGTACCCTTACATGAGAATCGCAGAACGAATAAAACAACGCTCGAGTCGTATGATGCAAAACTCATGCAATGAGCGCATATAAGTGTACGATGAGTCAGCAGTAGACAAAAGAAGATACGATGTCAGGCAATGGAAAATGCGCTACGGCTTGATCAAGAGGCACGATTCATTCGCCGCCATTTCACCACTGTCGGCGCTGGCCTGGCGATCTGTTCGGCCATAGTGGACTCAATTTGCCTCACATGCAAAACATTGTCTTCAAAACCCTTCAGGGCCATTCTAGAAACACACAGGGTCCCATTCCTTTTGCGAAAATTCCGTTTCCGGATCCTTTCTTTAACTACTAAGTCGACTATCGGAAGTCCCTCCCCCCCCCCTTTCATCCATGTGAAAAGTGGCAACAGCGAGCGCTTCTCCCGGCTATCGTTCGCGCCATTAGCACATGGCACCACTACTAGTATCTCGTTGAGAGCGAACTGGCGACATTCACGGCTCTCGTCGCTTTGACTCGTTCGCCCGCTTTGTGGTAAATGTGCCTCCATCTATCATTGTAATGCCATTGGACAGTATTATTCTGCCGTTATTGTTGCTGTTACCGCCGTTGTTATTCCCGCCGATGCCTGTCTGCTGGTGATCCACAGACAGGCAACTGCGCGCCAAGAGAGCGATGGACCAAATGGCGGGCCGGGCTGTACCGGACCCGGGCAGCTGCCAAGTGATGGTTTTGTTAGCGAAAGTGGCGGCGATGGCGACAGCAGCGGCGTTCGCCGCTCCCGCCGTACTGGCAGGAGCAGCAGCCATCGCTACCGCTACTGCACCCACCAGTTACCAGTGGCTCTAAGCCACCATCAATGGCTTGCAGGTGCTGCTGACAATGCTAGCGGGCCACCATATTACAATACTGCCGCCGCAAGGAGTTAGTCACCCTGTTAATGATTATGATGATAATAGAGCTGGTAAAGTCCTTCAGTGGCGCACAGATTCCGCTGTCGCCCTCATGATCGCCTACACCACCCCCTGTAGACAGCACCATAAACAAAAACGTCCGATAGCGCAACGAAATTGAAACATCTTCTTACCAAGTGGAGTTTAAAAAGCTAGCAGTTCTTTCGTGAATTTTTTCAGATACACCCCTTTTCCTCGGTGACAATGGTGACAGGAACGTTGGCAGAAAAAGTATCTCGTCAACATCCGTACAAATTAAACACACTACACCCGATTCCATTGTCACCGCTTAAGTTTGCCCTTTACCCTCTCTCCCTGTTCGAAAATTAGTCTGCCGTATCCGATGCGCCCTGTCACAAACTCTCCAACAGAATAAAAGCTTTAGAAAGCGTATTTGCGCAGGGGATGTACACCGTGAGCATAATGAAGGGACACCAAAAAACACTTGAATACGCGCCTTAGCACACGCACAGATACATGGGAGACAAGGAAAAGGCTAACACGCCCTCTTTGACTTCAGAGGCTTAGAAACCATGGATTCTGGTCGGTGTTTTAACTCTCGTTCTTATAAGTGGTGAAATCTCAACACATTAAGGAATTAGATGCCGTGTTGAAACGCACTCACTCAGTCGCTTGACATAGTAACCCAGTGAGTCAGTTAAAGGCCCGATCACTACATGAGAACTTCGTTCTCCCACAAACTTCATTTCACACCTTAACAGGGATGCTTTTTTTCGTAAAAATCGACATTGATACCGGCAGGCGAAGAAACTGATTTCTTCTATTTAATCACACCTGTTGCCATCGAAAGGGCTTGAACTATCCACCCCTAGCTTTTTGTCGCAAGAGATTAACCGTCTTAGCTATCGTGCTGTCAAACGGTGTCCGCCGTTTTTAAAACGAATTGCACGAAGAACACCACTAATTTCTCGTCGACGAATATCTGACGAGTATCTCTTTATAGGCGAAAATGGCAAATCAGCTGTCCCACATTATTTGGCCAAGATCGGCAGGTGCTCAACAGCCGTCTATAAAATGTATATGGAGCGCATGCAAACCGATCCATTTGGTCCTAAGAAATTGTACTTTTTTTTTCAGATGCGCCCTCTCCACTGGTTCGCCGTATAGTAGATGAACTACAGGATCAGTCGTAGATGAATGAAACCAGTAATCGGACGGACTATCCGATGATAGTCAATCTTCACTCAGCCGGCAAGGTATCCAAACAAAAACGACATTTTCGTTTTCATTCATTCAGTCAGTGGGTCGATCATTGGTTTTCTCTTTATGACAGCTCCTTTCCGATGCTGCTGCCCCACCTTTTCCAGCGCCGATCGTGTCGGCCCGATTATACGCGATGTCGGATGGGAGAGCCCTCGATGCAGCCTGAAGCTCCCACACCATCGTATATAAACCAGACGACAGTTTTCAGCCAACAAGGAAAACACCACTAACCAATACGCTCCATTGCTGAACGTGCACATAAATCTCATCAGGCACAGATCTCTCACACAAACGAGATCAAGAAGATCCGGCGGTTGATTTTTGTCATGGGGCCAACAACAGAATCGTTCGCCGCCATCACAACAGAACACAGCAAGCACTACAGTGGTGATGATTATGCTAATGATGATGATGATACGAGAATGAGCAATATCATTACATTAGCAAACGATGATGCTAAGAGGTATGGATAAAATACTACGCTACGAATTTTACAGGTGTATACTCTATAATATACTTCTATGGTGAATGGATTAAGGGAGAGAAGCAACCAAAAGCGAGAGAGGTCTAGCACACTCGAGCTTTACTTGTGATACGATTGAAGTACGACCGAGCCTGGCTAATTCGATGGTTGGTTCGCGTTTTTTTGGGTCTGGCTTTTGCCGCTGGGATCGTAGCGAACACAGGGAATTGAAATAGGTACACCCAACACAGACATTCGGCACATCTCGTTTCTCTTTCGTTCACTCGTTCGTTTGTGAAAAGTGTTTTGTTCAGGCGTTCTCCGTTCGGCCTGCTGCGGCCTGCCTGCCTTCCCGTCTCATGTCCAGTTTACTCGGATTACCCCCTCCGTTTCTTTCGTTTTAGGGTAGGCTGACTAACTGCTTGCTATCGTTTAGTACAGACCAGCGCCACCGGCGGGTTAGCTGGTTTGCCTAGCTGCCTGAGTCTGGCTTATTGCCTTCCTTCTGTTGCCGTTTCGCTTGCGCGTCCAGCACGGATTGACTGACTGGCGGCATTTGGCGTCGACAACTTCTGATTCGACGCACTAAAAACACTCACCGGCGATTGAGCGGTTGTTGTAGGTCCTCTACCTTCGGTCAGAGTCGGCTTTCCGCGATTTGTCTGTCCATCTTGCCTCTCTGTGTAACACCACTACTGCTGCTGCTGCTGCTCACTGGTTCCCTTGGCTGCTACTACAGCTGCGGCCGCTGCCTTCTTCTGCGTAATCGGTAAAACTCCGAATCGTTCGTAGTCCGGGCCGGCGGTCCGCGACGTTTACGATGGCCCTACGCCTGGATTACCGCCACCTTCACTGTCCACCGCACCGCCCAGACACAAGCCCGACGCACGAGCACCAGCGCACAACTGTACAACAACTTCACTCGGCAGCAAAATGGGCCGATTTCTCAAAACCTTCGGGGCCTAACTACTACTATCTCGCAAATATACACAAAGTAGCGTCCCTAGCAGGGAGCGGCCGAATGCTGGTGGCGCAAACCAAAATGGCCGTCGCCGCCAGCTGATTCATCCTCTGAAGCAGCAACACATTAGGCGGCCTGGCGGTGAACACAAAGCGCGCGCAAACTTGAATCTCAGATCAGCGGTCCGTTGGGAAGAAATCGCGATGGCGGGCTGGGCTCGTTGTTAGTTGATAAAAAGAGAGAGAGAATGAAAACGAACAAAAAATTTACTGACAAAAAAGTCCATGTTTAGCAGCAGCGGTGGCGATGGCGCTGCCGTTGTCTGTTGTCGTTTTTTTAAAGAGTTGGGAAGAGACGATTTTTTCACTCACAGGCGCGGTTAAGCGTTTGCTGAGAGGGGAATAGAAGCTCTACGGCAAACTCTCAGATCTTTGAAATTAAAAGTTATTTCTCATTCGTTCTCTCCTTTCTAATTATTTTGATGATTTGGCAGATTAGAGCTAGTTTTGTTCTTAGATTTATTCATATGGAAAGAGGATGTTAAGGACCGCTTTGATATTTCGGTACGGTAGACAACATTCTACCGGTAATCAGTACGAGTGCTGTGTAAATAGAACTAATTGCCCTTATTCCAGGGAGCTATCGCTTTTAGTTCAGCAGCAAAATTAGATTGAATCTTACTTTTATTTTTAAGTTCAGTTCAATTTTTAATCCTATCCTATTTATAAATTTAATTTCGTTATTATTTTTATTTAGTGCATGTTTTATGCATACACGTCACCCCAGTACATTCGTGCATGAACAATGTAATCACGCGATTAAGGGTGTCCAGTTAGTTTTTGCGTAGTAGCAGTAAATAGCTAACGCAGTTGCTACAAACATCCGTACCAACAACATCGTCCCCCTCCTGGCAAAAATAACCAATGAAAGAACAAAACAATGATGTCATATTTCATCTCTTTTTGCCGTGCCCTGATAAGCAGCATGCGCCTTGATCTTCAAACCGTCTCTTTAAAAAAAGAACTGTCATTCATTAAATTTCCTTCTGGTTAAGGACGTTTGTTTTCAGTAATAACACCAGCTCTTTCTGCTGAGTCGCCACCGCTTTCGGTTTCATGTTGATGACATTTTAGCATCATCTATGGTCTCTCCTGCCTCTTGCCTGCCCGCCAGCTTTTGTGTATCGTTGTGCCGTTGTAGCGGTTCTGTTCGCTTCTACGAGAGGCGGTTTATCGCTCATTCAACTATTGCTCATTGAGTGAATCCGAATAGCATGTTTGTTAGTTGCTGCCGTTTTAGCAGCAGCAGCAGCAGCAACAATCCGTCCGGTCTATTCGATTGTTGCTAGCTCCTTCAAATCTTTTTCGCTTCTCTTATATCTTGATGGGTACACGGTAAACGGCTGCTCATACGAAAACTAATATTCGGACAGCGGGGCGGCGAGTATGCGCCACCAGCCCGATTCTGATCCCTGCTCCTCCATCCCCCAATGTTGCCGGGCCAACACCCGCCCGACTGCCCGCCCGCCCGTCTGCCTGCCTGAAACTGCTGGTGCTGCGGTCGGAGCAGCGTTTCTATATGCTGCTGCTGCTGCTACTGCTGCTGTGAGCGAGCATTGACTACTGACTAGAAAGAGCAGCAACATTGGCGGAGGTGCAGCACAAGCGGCAGCCGCAGCACGACCAGTCTCATCATCAACAGCAGCCCCGTCATGGATGTAGGCAGTAGCAGGAGCAGCGGTAGATGAAAAACTGGTGAACGGAGGACCAGAGCTGTGGCAGCGAAAGTAGGCAGTGAGCGAGCGGGCGCTCGGCTGACCTAGGAGCCAACGATCGCAGTGCTCTTCGCTCGATGCTCGCTAGTGTTGATGCCAGTGCTTGTCGTGGCTCGGTGGGGCTTTTTGCCTAGGCGGAGTGCGCTGCCCCAGTAGAGTCAAAATGATTACTGCTGCCGCTGCCTCCCCACGATTACCGTTCAAACTGGTGCTTCTTACTGCTAGCGACGAACGCCAGTGAGCCAGCCATAGAACGCCTAGCAGCAGCGACGAGTGGCAATACGCATAGCAGAGTAGCTGAGGACGAAAAACATGGACACGGCGACGGCGATGGCAGAAATGGCTGCTAGTAGCGGTAGTTACGACGGCTTCAGCGGCGGCGGCCGTCACCATCGCAGCGGCAACAGCAGCCTGTAAGAGGAGGGTCGTCACTATCGCTTTTTCCATTATTGCTGGCGCGCTATAGTTGTCGCCGCAGTAAAGGTAGCCTGCGGCGAGGCCCGGTCGGAAGGACTCATCGAGAGTTAGGGACAGAAATAGGACGCGACTGTAACAAACGAAATATAAAAGAGAAAAGCCGAGAGAATAAGCGACTCAGTGGCAGATAAAGGCAGAACAACGAGGCATGCACGAATGCGGTACTGTTACATACTAAAATGTTATAGATGCATTTTGCAAACGTCCAGCGGCCCGTCTTGACACCATTACACGCGTATTAGTTGCCGGTGCCTTATATGCTGTGGTCGTAATGCAGCTTTTTCGTATGTTACGTGCAAGAAAATCCTGTGATTCTACAAAAATCGCAGAAATAATCATACTCAAATGTATGCCATGATAACTGAACGGAAACATTGCAATAACTAGCCAACGGCAATCCATGTCGGCGGCTTGTTACGGAGCGCGGGCTGTCGTTGTCAGTGACGCAGTCCTTGCTGCATTTGCCGATGAAAATCACCGCTGGCCTTAGTTGCTGTAATAGCGGCAGCAGCACCGAGGCTACTTACTGGAACCCGGTGGTAGGACCAGTATAAACATGAGCGTTATTATCCAACTACTACTGCTGCTGCTATCGGCGCTTTTTCCGATGCCTCAGTTTCGTCTCGTTTAGATCTACTCGGGCGGCCGCTTTTTGGCTAGAACTTAGTTCTATAGCCGCCATCGTTGCCATGACTGGTGCCGTTGCTGCAGATGCCGAGGCCTCAACACGGATGATCTTCTAATATCATAGAACACGGATACGGGTGGTGCAGCAAAGGCTATCATAGTAAGTACAGCTGTTACGATAGAACTCCGCTATAGAAGCAACGGCGATGGCAATTAAGACCACCACCACGACGACGACGACGACGACGACGACGACGACGACGACGACGACGACGACGACGACGATGGTTGTTGTTCCTGCTGCCGTTGTTTTTGTTGTTGTTGGTGGTGATGATGGTTGCTGCTGACCACGGTTTCTCTAGCCGGATTGGCCGGCGTTTATTACTACTACCGTTGATCCTGTCAATTTTTGTCAGATCGTCACCCTTTCTTTGGTCACATGCATCTCTACCAGCATCAGCGGTATCAGAGCCGATAGACAATAATGCCTGACGTTTCCTATTCGTTGCTGCTGATGCTTCTTATGAAGTTATCATTTTCACCGCTTCTACTCATGCTACTGGAATCGTCGATGCTCGGAAATACTACTTTGAGTGGCAGCAGGGATCACTCGCTGGCCACTGTGCATTTCACCATTCTCCAGAGAACTAGCAGCTCTCATTTCGACGAGATCCCTTATTTGTGCAGCGATTCGGTCAACACCTACACCAAAGCACTTTTACCTACTAGGCCCATAGCGATGCATCTGGCGCAGAATATGCTATTCGGTATTCTACCATAGCGGCGGAGTGGGAATCTGTGATCTGAAAGAAGGGATAGTAGCATGAGAAAATGGAACAGCACTATCGCCATATTAGCCAACACTAAACAACGCACGCAGGCATACATTCAGATGTCATGCGCTAATTAAAATAGCAAAACAACGAAAATAGATCTGGACGGGCGTTTTAGAACTATCATTTGAAGTATGGTAGAACTGGACACATCTCTTCAATGAAACAATGTCGACCCAATTCGGTAGCATTCCGCCAGCTGGATGCCGGACTTCTTTTGCTATTTCGTTTGGTGTTACACTAACTTAAGTTAGTGTATTAAAATATGAAAAATCAAATAGTGACAATTTTTGAGTTGTTTAACTTTTAGGCATTTAGAATCGCGTTACTTTTTTGTCGTGGCTAGAAACCCATGAGCATCAACATAGTAGTAAATTTCAGCTTTTACTAAACGTCAATGATGCTAGCATATGCTGCGCCACACACAATATGACCTACTGCGGACCTGAGGCAGTCGTAATGTCGTAAAGTAAATAATATTAAGTTAAATTAGAATTGAGTGCAGAGCTTTCTCTTCAAAATGGAGTTTGGTTTGGATGACTGTCAACACCATATAAAGTTGTCAAAACAGTTATGCGGGCACACCCACGTATATATATATATATATATATATATATATATATCAGAAAAGAGTAGCAAATGTTAAACCTGCCAATCATCTCGGAAACCATTTTTAATACCAAATTTGTATAATAGAGCTTACATATTACGGATGAGTAATTCAGTTATGAAACGGTTGGGATTATTCGATGAGTCTCGAGTTTCCAGGACATCCGATATCGGCGTTAAGAACCGCGTTAGTGCTAGTAGGAGCCAGCCATAATGGACCGTATATATTCCCCAAGCTTTGAACGTAAACCACAACATGCCTTTAAGATTAGCCAGCAAATGCGTTAACCCGTAAGCTAAATACGAAGACTATTACTCAATTGGCCTAGGCGGTCTGCTACCTTAGTTTTACGATTGTGCCATCTATTGAGTTTAGATCTTCTAATCTTGGTATAGGACGTTACGACGCCAACAAGTCTGTAACCTGATGTAAAGTTATTACATTCTTGGATAGCAGAAACTTGCAACATATCTAAAGTCTTTATTTTGCGACCTACTCTTTTTTTCTTCGATTTACTGCCTTCGAGTAGATACTTAACGAAAAACCGGAGGCGCCACGACGTCGTTGTCAAAGTAGTCTGTTTCTGGCTGTGTGTTTTCGACCATTGTCACGGTAGCATTATTTTCTATCATCCTGTCTTCATATATATTTCAAATAAGACCTATATTGTACGTGAAATATTAATAATATTGTATAATTAATAATAATAATCGATATTAAGTAACAATGCGTAATTACCTGTAGCTTCCGATCTAATTCAATTTCAGCCTATTGCTCCCCTGCAACGGCAACTTGTTAGACGAACCCGTTTTGGTACACCATGGTTCTATCACTAAAATATGTTTTTTGCGTAGTTCTGTCGTTCTTCAACCGCAACATCAATTTCTAAATTTTCCACCTTGTCGTTCATACATTTACTACCTATGTCCGTATACTAAGAAGAATAAAACAATTCCATTGCGAAATCGTGGGTATGGAAATAATGGTCTACTGTGCCAAAAACTGCTACCCCTTTTGTATAGGTACCCACGTAGATAAAACAACAATATCTATGTAACGAAAACATCCTTATCTATAATCATAGAATAGATAAAATCATGATATAGAACAATACGCATGTCGTATACTGTTTTTCATGCTGATCTGAAAAGCATCTACCTACGCTACGTTCATGAAGATAACATTAGTCCATCACGGATATCTAACGCACATATAATGAAGCCATAATGAAGCCTTATAAAGTAATTGCGGCAGCTCGAAATAACCGAGGCGCCCTCTAGGACAAAGCACAAGCGTTAAGATACTCGACGGCGTCTAGACAATTTTACGCTCATATTAATTCACCTTAACATTTTCCAAAGCAAGTATCTTTGTCATTACATAGGTAGATTTTTCCTTTGCTGACCGTGATCTCTGGACGACGTGAAAACCCAAATTCGTTTGTACACATGTTTTGATAGGTACAATATGATAACTTAGCATGCATATATATATCTCTGATTACCCCTCTATTTCTTGACGTAGCAACAACAATGCATAAAAACATCAGAATAAACTTATGCGTATCATTATTTTGTAAAAGCGAAAGTAGTTTGTATAATCGCATCGCAACAATGTCATATAATGACTCTGTTATATCGCGTTTCTCATTGTCAAGCTGCACAGCAAAGACACCTCACGTCGCGGTGGTCTGGTACAGAGCACAATTCACTTTTTACTTCACGCAGGCGCAGGAGTCTGAGCGGAGCTAGAGACTACGTGTAGCATGAAAATCAGTGTCACCACGGCAGTTTAATCCGTTAACGCATTCACGCAAATTTCTTACTCTGGTTTTTGCAGGGCAACAGGGGCTTCCTTTGAAACCGACGTTGGTTGTTATAATACCTGCTAGTTGCCTCAACCGACGAGCTTTCGTACATCGTTTTGTGATGTATGAGATGAAGTCTTTGCTATTCGAGAAGATGAGAAGCCCTCGACAGAAGCAGCTGTTAACGTACGCTAGGGGATAGCGTCTACTAGGTAGACGATATTTACTGTCAGCTCCAGAAAACTACGCTATAGAGACTCGTTAGTGCCTGCTAGAAGTAGAAATGATTCTTTCCTAAAACGTTACATTGTTCGCATACAAGAGGCCACGAATTCGTCCTAGAAATAGTCGTCGGCTTAGGTTGTGCGAGTCCCTTAGTTTGCAAGAATGAAGGATTCCGCTGCTCCATCGTTAGTCGTTCCGCTGATTCCTGTTAGTAGACCGAACAAGTTCGAAGGTCATCTTGCGAAGGACGATCTCTTAACGGAGCCGAACACGGCCCTGAAGTTTATGGAAAAGCCCCCCGTATAAGCACTTAGGCTCATAAGGTTTGACTTTTGTCTGTGACAACGCTCTGTATGGCGTCCCTGCGAAAATCCACTTCCCAAACCCATGCTTCTCTTTTTGCACGATGTTAACTTTCTCAAAGCCATGTTAAGTCGCCTGTGTGTTTGGTAGGATAGAAGCTTGTAGTAGACGTTTGGCGATCACTCGTTCCAGGAGAGCCGTGTGACAACCTTTTTTTTCTTAGAAAATCAGAGCGTACCAGTTGAGCGTGAAGAACTCCGGAAAGTATTCCCGGAAGGAGAGCATCCGTTCTGCAGTGCCTTATATTCTAGTGATTATGCTTTGATTAAATTTCATTAGAATGCGAAGAAAGCGTCAGAAAATAAATGACTATTACTAGCTGAGCTGTGAATATGACGGGAATATTTACAAATTATACTATGTTTGCCACTTCAATAACGAGCCCCACGAATCCATGTGTTACACGGCCACACTCAAACAATCTGGCTGTTTTAGTCTTATATTTCAGAAATTAACACAGTCGTCCATATCATGACAAACCTTGATAATCAGGGCACTTTGATAACCGTTGGCCACATGATGCATGTGATTGTGATGTAATTGTGCTGCAGTCATATGCTAAAGCTTCTATCCTAAAAATTGCCTTTGGATATTTTCCGAATCAATCGCACGTGAATGGCGAGCCAGGCCCGCCATGTAGCTAATACAGTCCGTACTCTATTAGACCAATCGGAAGCCTTGAGCTTTAAATTAATGGCTTGCTAAGCAAACCTCCGATCCGGCCACAACTTCTCATATAGGAACTTCGTTGAAGATACCCAATGCAATACTTTTGTAAGCAAGGCAATTTGCATCTTCCTAGTGTTATTGGCAGGACTATGCGTTAGAAGCTTTGTGACTTGAACAAATGTCAGGATCGCTTATGTAGGCACGACCGACGCGTGATAAACACTAACTCGCCATAATATTTCCGGAGAATACAGTTAGTTTTGAACATGAAACAGGCCGGGCGAACACGATCACTAAAATCACATTGTCAATGTTATGTTCGGTGTGCTTTCGTTATAAAACCTCGTATTATGGCTGGCAAGTAGTACAACCTTGACGACCGTAGCATCTCTGAACTGCCAATTCTTCGGAGTACGTGTATGGGTACGTAAACACATACGTTCTAATCGCAACGCTTCAACAGCGTAGAGCTTCAAGTTTCTATAGACAGACGCCTTGGACTTCTGAAATATACGTATATGCATACAAGTACAAGTAAATGATTCTATACATATATACTACTACCAATAACGTAACTGAGTACAATATAATATGTTCATTTTGTTATTAATATCTGATGTTATAGCTTCTCGGAATCCGAATACAAACCACAGACTGAAGGATATTGTAATTGTGTGGATGCAAGTTTCGAGTACTAGATGTAATTTTAAAACTAAAATGGATCGATTAATACGTCCTCTCTTGTTCGGAAGACTTCCGAAGACAGTGTTGAGTATACAAGGTTTATGAGATCACTAGAACTCACACGAGCCTACGAACCACGCTCACTTCCGGGTACTGGCCAGTATCGAAAAATCCTAGCTAAACTCCTTGGATTATTTTCCTCGGCTATTTTTAAATTTGTTTTTTTTTTAATTTTTTTATTTTTTTTATGCCGTAACTTTCTGTCATCATTTCATTGTGACGCAGTTACGACTCCTGTAAATCCATATTCGCTTGCTCTAAATCGGACGCTGTTCTCTCTCCCTGCATCTCTGGATTTGCTGAAGGTTCGTGGAGAAGTCTCAAGGCGCGTTGGGTCTCGTGGCCTGAAGGCGCAGACAGTGCAGGAGCAGAGCTGCCATCTCCGCCAGCTGCCGATATTCCCGCGTCGTGAATGATACCTGTTGATCACGGCCATTAAATTAGTCATGGATCAGAAACGTTCTTAACGAAGGTAGAAACTAATAACGCTATATGAATACAACTTTCATATTAATAATTTCTCTAAAATCGCTAACAAAGCTTCATCACACTAGCACAGAAATCTAACTGGTAAATATCGAAGATAACATATGTTAAGATTTTAATCTTTTTTGACCAGACATAAGTTTTATGCATGGTCCTTAAGGACCAAAAGGCGGAGTGTTTATACCGAAATATACTGAAATAAAGCTTCGGTTTGAAATTTCGCAGCTATAAGAAATACTATGGCATGTTACGTTTTTACCTAAAATCGAATTTATTCTGAATGTCTGTTTTTCTATCGTATAAAGATATGCTTAGAAATAAAATAGCCTAAGCGCCATACCAAGCTTGTGTACTCGAGCACTCCCATGTGCTTGTGGGGGTTTGCACAGGATGTTTACGGCGTGCGGATTGAGAGCCCCTCGAACTACCTGCCCTCGTTCGTCAAGAACCTGGAATGTTGGCGGAACGGCCCTTGCCCCAAGAGCAGCGTCAACTTCGTCAACAGGACGCGTTCGTGTTGGGCTATGAAATCACAAGAGAGAGAATGTAAATGTAACAATTATCATTAAAGTTTATTAGAGTTTTTCAATTCATAGTTCCAGTTAAGCTCACACGTAGCCGTCATTAGTGTGATCATCAAGCAATTAGAAATTTGTCGTATCACAGCAATAGATAAGACGTGAAATTTGTACAGCTTTTGTGGTGGTTTAGTAATACCGCTAATGCAGTATCAGAGATTTCTCTTAGATGTACATTAAAAGAAAAGCTGATTGGACAGTTCTTCAATAATCAACACAACTTACTTCGCATACTGGTGGGGTTTAACTTTATAATTTTTGACTGCTGCGGAATGCCAGGCAGTGACAGAAATGAATTGTAGCTGCTCGAACTCGAAGTGGTGTAGTTCGCCTCCCAGGGCCTCCTCCAGCTCAATTATGACCTGATATTTCCGACGGGGTTCTAAAACTAACCGCGAGCCGTCACCGCCCTCCGTTGGTGTATCACTCGCAGATGTACTGTAAAGCTAGGTAAATTGACAATGGGATAAAATTTTATAGATGCTAGACTTTATCGGTCGTGTCAGGGCAACGTTTAAATAAAAACTCGATTGTGTCCAGTGGAAGTTAAACTGCATAAGCGCCTACGCGATTTTCGATTCAGTGTCTCCTACAGAGAACTTTGCAGCCCTGAAGATGCTGACCATCGATTTTTGAAGCAACCTAGAGGTAGAAAGTGGGTTCTTCATTTTAGCTAATGCAGAACCCATTCGTATGTCATTGCCAAATCTTCGGCGTCATTATATAGCAACTACGTGTCACAATAAAAATCGAGCTGATCGTGAGCGCACACTGGCTAGGGCGCCGCTCTGTGACCACAGTGGTTTCAGTGGGCAATTAGAAGTAGCGTTTAACGGCACCCTGAAAATACGGTTCGAGCAAATGTGGGACGAGTGTAGAAACCGAGAAAGTGGACCGGCACATGCAATTTGACCGGATTTTAGAGCAGAACATCAACGTTAATCGGAGTTTAAAACCTGGAACTGATCAAATTATCAGCTGAATGGACAGTAAGAGTGTATTATACTTGAAATATTCCATATAGGGGTGGAACTTCCAGTTTGAACGTGGACTAATGGGCATACGAAACTCGCTGTTTTGCTGCGCGAACTTTGCTTTAGATCCTTTCATTTAAGTGCACTGGTCGCAGATTGGCACTCTATACACGACGAGCTTTGTTGAAATTGCAATTCCTAAACAATATGCTTAGATTACTTCAAGTACGGCAGGCTTCAATCCTGTCTGGTCATAGTCAGAACCATATTAGACGTTTAACAACTTGCCATTGTTTTCAAGACGTTAAATGAAAGCATAGAGTGAAGCAAGATATGAGGCAAAGAGAGACGCGAGCTAAGAGAGGTATCGATCGAATATAAGTGTCATGTATTCCTCTGTAATGCTGTTAATTAGTACAAAAATACTATCTTGGTCCAGTAGCCCTTTAAAGGGTCCATTTTTAGCTTTTTCTTTCTTCCGTTTACAAACGTCGTAAACGCAGCAGCAGCGCTTGTACGAGCTTTGGTTCATTTCAAAGAATTTGCGTCAGCATGTAAAAAGTGGATAAATTATGCCCCCAGCCTCAATTTCGCCAGCAACTTTACGAATGCATTCATCCGAAACCAGTACCGTTTTAGTAGTCAGTTTAAGTTAACAGTCAACACTATGTGCTGTCATGGTAAAAATCAATGCGGCGGAATTAAGCAGAGTAAAGGGCAACGATTATCCAACTTTCACCCTTTTTAGCTCGAAACCGACGATCTATGTTATTACCAGTTTTCACATGGCTTTTTAAACATCTGAAGACTACCATGAACCCAACCGAAAGATCCTTAGTAGAATTTAGAGTTAAAAGGAGATTGCTTTGATTTCCGACAATCCGAAATGTTTCAATACAAAGATTAAGACGCGAGTATCTACATGTGCAATGACTCGTCGATATGAGTACCATTGGTTCGCGTTTTTGCGCATCTTCTGACTTTCGCCATTTTGTGTAGGGTACATTTTGAACGACCACACTTACCAATATAGCGTGGTGTGTTATTATCATTGAAGTTACTTGCCGGTGGAGGACTTTGAAAATGAGCATAAAATAGTTCAGGCCGCAGATTGAAGATATAATCAAAGTGCACAGAAGTTACACTGAATAAACATGACCATCAAAAAGCACACTTAGTACATGCAACACATGTCGTTAACATTATGTACTACCTCTTTTTGTTCAGAAGGGAGGTAAGAAAGAAATACTAGTTGTTAGTCTGGTTATCACTCTGCATTTGAATTGCGTTACGTCAACCTCATTTACCGTAACTGCACGCCATTGAGCACATATGAGACGTATACTGTTTACATAGAAGTAAACGAGAATATTGTTTGGATGGGGCAAACAGCCGAAAATTTCGTCTAGCGCTCCGGTCGCGATTTAAAATAAGCGAGCTTTGCAAAACATGGCTCTAGCTTAGGCTTAACCATCTTTACGATTGTACTACACTCTTATGCCCTAGGGATTTTTTGCAATAGTGTTGGCATATTTTAAAGATTATTGCACACGTTTCCTGAGCGAAGCGTAATTTTAATTACATACACCGATTGGAGAATTTAAGAGAATACAGTTGTGATGTCGAGACCATGTATATGTGTTCAAATATTGATCACTTACTTTAATAGCGTCAAATATGATAAAACTGTCGAGCCAAAATTGTCCGGAGCGCGGGGAATCCGGATGCTCGTGAACCACGGAGATATCAGCGGCAGCTGCAATAAGTAGTCAGTTATCTCTACATAGAAAAACTCATGAAACCTCCACACTTTTCTAGCTAGTTGTGCATGACTCTACTGTGGCATGCGAGACGAAAGGTTTTGTGCACCACAATGTCATGAAAAGGTGCCCAATGCAAGCGCTTTGTTTAGAATTGATACTAATTTTACCCAATTTGCCTGTAGTTCAGCTCGTAATAAAACGGCAACGACTACCCCGCATCAATAAAGTACAGACCCCGACAGAGACCCACCTTCATTAGTACTGTATTCCCAACGTCCCCTACGAAATGACATCTTTATAGGTGATATGGCCGATATCCTTACACGAAGGTGGTAGAGCTTTTCCGGCTGAAGCCCTCGTACTTCCACACGTACGTCTGGTCGCATGTATCGGCCAGACGTATTAATCAGCATTTCGTGGCCTGAAACGTGGTAGATGAAAAACAGGCTACCAGCTAATCAAAGTCATTCCACATTTGGAAAAGTAGAATTGGTTTTCGATAAATGTCGATGTCTTATAATGCTTTGCTACACAGCACAACATCAGGTGCTATTGTTAAATTGATATTGGTAGACCACCTAAGGTATAATTGATATGTGCTATCGATATAAAGATATATGCCAGGAATGTTCGAACAATCAACAGACGAAAAAAAGCTGCGAGTGCTCACTGCTAGTTTTTCTATTAAGTTTCATAGAACAAATAAAAAGAACACAAAAACTGAAACGCTGTTATAAAACGCGTTATAAAACAGTAATGAAGCCCACTACATAAAGCATGTTCCACAGTGGGACCATGTGAGTGTTCACTTTACCCCGAAGTTTAGGAATTCGCGCTGAGTTCTCCGGAATGTATTTGACAGCTTTGATTGATAAAGACACTTTTGTGGATAAACCTTATTCAGTTCCTAAAATAAGTTAATTAAAACTACCCAAAGGTAATAATAATATATAATAATAAGAGTCTATAATCGTGGGATTCTGTTCTTTGTTTAGTACCTTAAGGCCAATAAGATAATATTGACGCGATTTTTTTTAAAGGTAGTAACATCCAATTTTTCTCCATACAATCGTGTAGCTTGACAACCCTTACGGAATAGTCAACCTTTTACCGCTAGGTTCTTGCTGATACCACAGCAAGCACCCAAAAATGTGGTCAATAGCCGTATCCTATTTTATTTCTTCAAATAGGGTGATATTTTTTTCGAGGATACTGGTACCTTCGAATACTTGAAATCTTCAAATACTTCATATTTCAAGTCGTAGAAGACCAGCTCAGTGCAAGGGATTTTCAGTATTATAGGTATAGATTCGTCAAACGGAGTTTACTAAACGAGCCCTGATTAGCACCCCATGGTGTCACGAAAGAAAAAGCTTTTATTCAGCTCTCTCGCTCCCTTAGAGAATTTTGAATACCCTAGTTTTGAGTAATTTCAAATACCATAAAAAATACTACGTATTTGTTTGAAAAATAGGCACATTTTCGGTCTACTGCGAACCCTACAAACTGAAGACAAAATCCGTTCCTGCAAGAGACGACTTCAAATTCTTTTCGGTCACGTTTCATACCACTGTTGCCAAATGCGAGCATAGACAATAATAACAAGAAACATCCCATCGAACTTACCAAACGGGTGCAACAACTCCCAGACTTCGGAATTGAGAAGCCACATGTCAACATTGGCCTCTCGAATATGCATGCGAAACTGCTGACATAAGGGCTGCTGATCACCGCTGACTTGAACGCTGTCGTCAACACCCGAATCGGACTCTTCCGTTTTGTCGACCGTTACCACGCAATCTCCAGCGCCTTCGGCGGTCTTCCCATGCACGAGCACGTCCATCTGGTCGGAGTCGACGGCGGTTGTAACTGCGTTATCACTATCACTGTCGCTAGCTTTGACCGTTGCACCGTGGAGCATGCCGCACATTAACAATGGTACCACACCGCGGCGAATGGTCATACCGTAACGTCTGGAATAGGGGGACTGACTCTATCACCGACTGGTCGACTACGGCGACCAGAACTTAATGATATCCTAATCGATATCTTACACGGTTGTCGGCATCGACTTTTCGATGATGATCTTTGCTTAGCCGTGCTAGCCCGCGACCATCATTTACAGCCCAATTATAACGAGGTATTATTGCGAAATGATGACGAGCGATAACGATGGTTCACTTTTGAATTATGTTCTCCGTCTTCTCGCTGATAAGTCGTTGAGCGCCAAAAATTTATTGTAGATCTCTACTTGTGGATAGTGGGGCCATCACTTGCTTCGCCCAGATAGTTTTCAAACCTGAGTTCTAAATATGTATCTACTGAGAAACATAAAAAACTCATTGGTAGCCAGACATTTCTTGAGATTAACGTACAACATGATATACTATTTTAGTTAACTTGTTGTAATTAGCCGGGATTGTAAGTAAACTTAAGGACCGTTAGGGTCGCCTTTGTTTACGATGCTGTAAATGTCATGACAGCTCGATATGTAGCCATATTCCATGTGCAGCTGATAGTGGAGCGGCTGGGATACGGGCATTAGCTGGCTTCAGTCACATGTCGGGATGTTTAGTGCTCGTAGTCCACTGCAAGTCAAGCTATGCATAATACATTGTACCGAAACGAAATATGTTAGTTGTGTGACTGATTAGTTAGATAAATTCAATGATTTTCCGTATTTTACCTTTATTTACTGGGTGGCTCCCAGCAAAAAACGGATTCGAGCCAAGACTGCCACATATCTCTATGTTTAGTAGGTGGACACGTTACCCGTTGTGCCATTATGTAGGTACAGTGGTTTGGATTTAGGTGAAAACTGATTATAGACGCGCAAGGTACTTTGCAAGGCAGCCGTTCAGGTTCTCTTGTTAAGATCAAGTACGTCCATACAACATTGCCATCAATGAACTTGAATGCGATTGGCAAATGATCCAATTAAATCTGTGAGAGAAAATACAGAATAATGACAACGTCTGAAGAAGGAAATTAATAAAAAATTTTCGACTGTGGCATTGTGTCAAACGAGAGAGTAGTATATGCACCGGTCGGCCCGATCTGATGATCCGCCAATGTGCTGTTCGGTGAGCCACGTGGGCTGAAGTACGACAATAACTTCCTCAGGATTTCCTTGTGATCAGCTTTGTTCGTTTTCGAGGTAGCCGCTGCCGACAATGGAAAAAAAACAATGGAAAAGTGACGATTGTTAATCTTCGCGATAGGCTTTTTAGTCAGGTCACAGTTTCGTTTTAACTTCGAACTGGGTCAGTTTTAGGTCGCGGTGCACACAAATGAGATCACTATCGAAGGTATGCTCTTTAAATGACGAATATACATCAAGAAAATTTGTTCCATTCGCGACCGTGATGGGGCAAAATACTTCGTTGGTATATTAACTTGAGATGTAAAGTTGGTGACTGCTTTAGGAGAATCATCGTACAAGGGGTATTCGCCTTCATTGGGTTTATTAAACTACAATATTATAGTATTAGCACTTTTGCTATTCAAATTGTATCGAGAAGTCAAGTGTCATATAGGAACCAAATATCTGAGGCGGAACGTCGGCAAATGATACTTTATTGGAAGGCTTGAAAAACCTACTTACTGTAACCCAAGTACCTTATAACGTGTCCAAATGAACTAGACGATCGCTATCGTCTTGGATATAGGGAAAATATTTCATTAGTTCAAGACTAATTCTCCTCTCCGTTGTTTTTGGCCTAAACAGAAATTTTTCGAGGTTTGGGATTGTTCTGGGTAATTCTCCCAGTTCTGGCTTTTCGTGTAACTCATTTCTATTGTAAATGATTTAGTTCTACTTTGCAATTGCTTCTAAAGCATTAACTAGAAAATATTCCCCTTTGAAATTTTCACATGTCTAAAAAATGTATACAAAGTAATATATAACCCAGTGATGTGGCTTCTGATGTTAAGCAGTACAAAATGCTTGCTATAATCTGGAATTAAATTTCAGAAAAAATTAGATCTTTGCGTTCTTGTGGAATACGGTAAAACTATACTCAAAAAGCGCGCGTTGCTTGCTGTTTTGCTAAACGTTTCGATGCAGTCGATTTATTAAACGCTACTGCAGTGAACACTAAAATTGAATTGAAAAAATTGCCAGAGTAATTAGCAGCTTAGACCCAGTGCAATGAGTGGAGTTTTCAGCTGCCCAGGTCGTTTTTGCGATGCCAAACCAGGCCATGGTACGGAGTCGTAGTCTATCCATGTTTTTTTTTTCTCAAAAACGGATCAGTTATCATTTAGTTTGTATTCTCTGATACTAGGCTACATTTGTTAGAAGACATTTGATTTGTATTCCGCTTGACATAAGTACTCATTATAATTGCAGCGCACTAATGAAAAGAAAACATTTTCTTTTGACGCGAGAGCTCTGCAATTTTGGGGTTGGATGGGCGATTCTAACTAGCGATCAGAAGTGTTTCTCTTTAGTGCCATTGAGTAAGCTGTGAAGAGTCGTTCTGTTCACGACTATGGAACTGCTAAGCCTTGAGTAATAACATGATCGCCTTATTTCAAAGCGTCGTCTTCTGAATAAGACAAAGCTTAGTTGGTCTTGACTCGAGAACCATCTTTAGGTAAAGTGATCAATTCCTATATTCAATTACGTAGAGAAAAATAGTGATGTCACTAGAGAGCTTGAAATATCGTGTCGTTTTGTCATGACAAACAATTCGGCAGATATTTTTTGTAGGCGCTCAAAGCTCTTAGCCCCGATATACCCGCAAGTGTCTGTGACACGGCGGGAACACGTTCTAATTGTCAGTAGAGAGTGTAATCATGCTCACAGTTGAATGACGTAACTGTATGATAAGTTAACATTAAGAAAGTATGTAATTAATAAAAATGATCGGGTTTTAGTTGGAGACAAACCCGAGACGTTGTGATTGACGTGAGTTTGGCTCTATACTAAATTAATTGAATATAGGTTTTAGACTAAGCTTATTGAAATGATGGCGTATACTATTAGTACCAATTTCGAAGACAAGATCCGTCAATATAAGCCAAAAACATATGGGTACGACTGAATTGGCTACGGTAACGGTAACAATGATTTAAGCTAATACATTCTGGTGTAGGAATGGTTAATTTTTTGAAACACTTAAATATACACAGATGTTGTCATCAATTCTAACGACCTAATTACATGCATAGGCTTGATCTTCTGCAAGGTTGTTTAACAAGACTGGTATATTTTAAACTGAAAAAGCCACTTTTGATTTGCACACTAGGTCCGTTGTACGGTCAGACAGGCCTAGGTACAGGCAGTCCTCCATTGTCGTCCTGTCGCTATTAGAGCATCGTCGAATGACAATACCTAGAAATTTTTCACAGAGAACTTATTACATGCGTACCACGATCAGCAGGCTGTGTCTGAATTTCGAAACTTTCGGGGACGTGCATAGATGCAGTCTTTGCCGTTATTCTAGTTACCAGATTAAGCCGCCAGCAAAATATCCTAGGTTTATGTTCGGGACCAATCAGAGCAGACTATATTAGTTACCTTCCAAAAACAAGCTAGTTGGAAACCGTTTAATGATGCTTAAGTAATATATTCGTAGTAGGGATTGCTCCCAGTTGCGGGTCTTCTAGATGGAATGGAAGTAGAACAAGACCAGTATTACCTAAAAGCGCCCAGCAAAATCAGGGTATCCGCTGGAAGTACGATGCTATCTTTATAAAATGGCTTTAGACACAGACAGAAGTTTTTGGTCTCTTCTTTCGCTCTGTTGCTTGATTTAATATGCTTCATATCTCACTTTCTGCAGACGAGTTTCGTTATGTTTTCAGACTCCACCTAGTCCTATTGCAAAAAGTGTAAAGACAGTCCACTTAGGACAAGCTGAAAAATCAATGGAGATTTGTTAGGTTAAGAAGCTTGGTTTTTTTTCTGTTGAAATACAGTTGGAAATATAAACAAATATGGGGCCTTATGTTTGCGGTGCTACAAACGCCCTAGCCGTCTCCGGCCGATATGCGTGTTCTACGCGTAGCCTGTAATACAATCGACCTGTGAAACAGCAGATCACGACCGAACTCTGCGGAATATTGCTACAAACCGGTGGACGCTCTTCGAATGTTGCTATTGTATATATGTGTTTTCTGGGAAAAAGTTGATCCGAAACATTTCCTTCTCCGACGTAAAGCTATACGTAACACTACTGAGAGTGGCGTAAGGCTATTCTTGACAAAGTTGTTTTCATACACAGTGCAAACTAATAGAGCGGATTGCCGTATAACTTATTACATTTACTTATAATTGTCTAGGCTACACGCAGAGGGAGGTTACTAGTGCATTTATATAGAAGTAGCCTTGACGATGTAGAGAGCGTAACTAGAGTTATTCAAGTTGTCGTCTGGAAAATAACTTGCTAACGGGAATTTCGCGCTTGGCTTCTCCAATACAACCGAATACGTTTTTTCATGCTCATGATACCCGGTCATCATTTTCAGTCGTTATCTCCTTTGAGCTCGACCATTCGTGATCAATTTTCTGTTATTCGCTGACTTCGGTGCGCGCCAATTACAACGATTTGTTTAATCGGTAGAAACACTCGATTGTCGACCATGATCGTCGATGGCGTTTATCGTTGTCGATACGAGGAACCTGTCCCTTCCTTATCTTACCTTCTCCTCATGTGGTTTGGCACTACGGTCGTTTGTCCTCGCGACTTGCGATGCTGGTAAGCAGTGTATCCTACTGTCGCCACGAACATGCGCGCTGGAGTCGTTTTCTGCGATTTTTGCGTTGTCTCCCGCTTGGGCTTCGAGTGTTGACCCGGGAAAGGAGAGTTTACGGCCGATTCACCTTCTCACCCTCCTCTGGGCCCGTTGCTTGTTCTGTTCTCGCCGTTGTCTGCGGCGGCAGTAGCGGCGGCAGCGGCGTCCGCACCGGGGGAGACGGTCAGCAAGGAACGACATGAGCGCAGCGTCTTGCTGTATTCGTGCGAAGACTCCCGCAACGACCGGAGTTGTGCAAGTGCCCACGACCAAGGGCCTTAATCCGGCCCGCTTAGCTCATGCGGTCCGCCATGGTGCTCCACAGAATGTCCACGCTGTCGCTGCTTGCTTCTGTCTTTTTCGCTGCGAGCATTTCGGTGATAAAGGCTGCTGGGAGTCCGGTAAAAGGTGCGTAAATATTTTAGATGCCTCAGTGAAATAGATTCTGCTTTTACTGAGAAGGCATTGGATATATATATATATATATATATATATATATATATATATATACATATTAGACATTGGAGATATGCTCGATTCGGTCGGGATACTTGTATAATGGCAATGTTAGGCCAAAGAAGCTAAGATTTTACTGAGGTATTATCATATGTTAATGCTATTAGAAAACCATACAATTGACCCTTTCAGGTTCGGTGTCAATCCACCAGTTGTAATAATATTATACAGTTAGGATTGGTTACTACATGGACGTGGTCGATCCTAATATCATCTAGTTAAATGTTGTGGTGTTAAAACTGTCTAAGAGAAGTAAGTGTATTTATCTTGCAAACTATTTTTCGTGTTGTATGCAAACAAAAACTACGTGGGCTACTTTCTATCTCGTATTTATCAGTAGGAGCAAAGAGAGTGACATAGCGTATTCTCGTTTCCCTAATCGATGCATAACTTTCCAGAAACATTCCTCGGTAGATAGGGCGTGTCGAAACTATGTACATGACTTTTAAAAAAAGCAGTCTTCGACAGTACTACCAGGCTTTGTCGCTACCTGGCCTAAGATGTTGCTCTCTACTAGCGATTTTATAGGGTCCTTGCACCGTCTGCCATATACATATATGCTGGGCTATGTACAAGCAGAAATTTTGACCAAAAAAATGTGCGTGAGCGCTCAACGTTCACCACTCCGGTCTCGTGCGCGTTCCTTTTGGAGAATTTTCATTTTGGGGGGCGGTACCTAACATCTGGTAGTAGAGTTGTTCCGGCTGGATTCCACCGAAAACAATGTGTGAATATCGGTGTTCAATAGCGCCACACAATAACAACAACAACAGAGTAAACGTCGTTTGTTCTTTGTCGTTTAGTTCAACAATAGTTTGCCGTTGAATGACTCCTGTCTTTTCGTTATATTTTCTGGTCGAGAGGTGTTGACCGACCGCTTTATCGGTTCTGGTGAAGTAGTATTATGAAATGGCATCTCGTCGTCGCTGTAGCCGTCTACGCCCTATTATTTCTGTGAAATGGCACAAGCTTACTTCGGGCACCAGATTGTTTCGTTTGCACGGCGTTCATACAGCCGGTTCTGCGCGATTTTTTCCTTTTTGCGTCTATCCCCGACCAGAAGGGTCAATGGCTCTGCCACCTAGTTTCGCTCGCAGCGACCAATTTTCCGTCCTCGGACGAATACCCCGCCGAGAGCTCGGAGCTTCCGATCACTTTGCCACCGATCGGTGGACGATAGCAACAGCAAGCGACGTCTTAGCAATCGCAAAACAATCCTGATACTCTACGGTGAGTCTTTGAGTTAGTACAATACTCAGTTGTTACAAAGAAGCGTTCCTAACAATTACGCTTACGGATTTGACTAATTTCTGATTTGGCATATTCTGCCTTCCGCTGCTCTACAATATCAAATCTGCCAAGATTACAGGACAAACCGCTGAATAAGTGTTTTCTTGAGCACGGTTGTCACTAAACAAGGAAAGGTATGGATTAGATAACCCGCAGCCGTACTCTTCACGAGAATTTATGTAGAAGACAATATCTTCGCATTTCACGCACAAATTGACTTTTCTTTAATTTATTAATTAATAAATATTAATTAAATTTAATGAGAACGAAACGTTGCATACATACATACACACGTCAGAAGCCCGTCGACTAATAATCGAATTATTATCAGGGCAAGGGTTTTGGTAAAAGGTGGAGGCATACGGATTAGCTGCTAATTTCAGTATAATTTATAAAGTCTGTGCCACGCCTGAAATTATAGGGCTGTTTGCTGCAGTTTTTAGATCTATTTGATTAATTTTCTTTTTTTGAAAAGCTTAAAAAAGGATCTAGCAGTCTGCGACTTGATGCTCGTTTTTCTTCACTCAATACAGCCGCATTAGAAGTAGCGCAATAGTATGTATATGTATGTGGTGTGTCTGTATATATATTAGGGCGACAAGCCAGCTGAAGGAAATTCTACGAAGCTGTATGAATGTTTATCAATCTTCATCAATGCAGCAGTAGATGCTACGTTGATGAAACCATCGTTAGCTTATAAGGTTATAAGGAAGAATTGTAGAAAAGTGATCACTGCGAACCCTCCCATCCCACCGTTTACACTTCTCACCTGTAAATATCGCTATAAATATGCTATGGGATCGCATCATGGGCAACGAATTGTTAATGCTGAGAAATTTTAGCCCGGTGCAAAAAGTTGACCAAATACCATGCCTGACGAACCAACTTTTCGGGAATATTACTGGAAAGAAACACAAGTCATTCTCTATGACAGGATAAATAATTGCTTTTATTATTTCTGTTTAGGCAATTCATATATTCAGGATATATGCAGGTCGAGCATCAAAGTGTGCGAATACCGGTGTGCCGCCACTAATTGCTTTTCTGCACTCAATATTTCGAAATTTAGTAAATAATCTTCAATGGTGTTAGCGGAAAACCTTTTCTACTCGTAAAGAGCTTTCTTCGGCGTAGGGCAGTGACATCATTACTCCTAGTTTGTACCAATAGTCGAAGCGGTTAAAGCGGCTAGGGGATCTGGGAGTTACCGTCAGCAACAAGCGTTGCAAAATACACTGCGATGAAGTGTGTACAATATAGTCACGAAGCCATGTTAGGACTATGTAGCTGAGTGCCTCTGCGAAGGCTAATTTCGAATAGTTCGTGAAGCGAGGTTTAACAAAGACTGAAATTCGTCGTGTAGGATGTTATCCGCATTTTTGCCTTCTCTTGTTCTATTTTCTGTTTGTCAATTAGATGGTAAGCAGCTCACAACAGAAGTGGCTAATCCAGCGCTCGTCTCACCCGGCGGATTGGTCGCTAACGTTACTGGAGAGTCACCCAAGGTGGTGTGTTATTTTAGCGCATGGGCATTGTATCGACCATTTCCAATGAATTATGATATCGATGATATACCTGGCGAAAGGTGCACCCATCTTGTATATGCTTTTGTTGGGCTGAGCAATCAAACCTGGGAACTATTCTCGATCGATCCTGAGTTTGATTTCAACAAAGGTAAGCACCAGTCGAATTTTGTTCGCGTCGTTTTGGCCAGTAAATACAGTACAGCATCCCACCGTAATAACTTTGTACGCTTCGCTTAACCTAAGACCGGATATTTTGAAAGAGTAAAGTCGAACATAAATTCAAAGATATAAATCGGTCCGATCACCAAACCACCTATAAAAACCGGCCGAAAAAAGTTTTGACTAAGCCAGGTTTTCGCTACTAAAACGTTATTACTCTCATTTAAATCACACATAATGTGACAGGTCACTTCTCGAATCGATAGGGACAATATAGTTCAAAACGAGAATGACTTAGGCAGATTTTTCGTTATCTGAGCGTGTCTCAGGCTGCTCTATAAGTGGTTTAAAACTAATTTGGAAAAGTCAACAATACACATTTAGAAATAGCAGTATAATTTACCAGCGATGTTTACTACAAAGGGCAGAAAAGGTTCGGAAGTTAAAGCTTAAATCCGACACCCCGACTTTCTTGCAGGAGGTTATCGGCGCTTTACGGCACTGCGTAAAAAGTTCCCTCACATCAAAACCTTACTTGCTGTTGGCGGGTGGGCCGAAGGCGGAAAGAAATATTCAGAGATGGTCGCTGTGCAATCTCGTCGACATACATTTATCAATTCCGTCATCCAGTGGGTGCAAACCTATGGTTTCGATGGTTTTGACCTAGATTGGGAGTATCCTGGCGCCTTTGATCGTGGAGGTACCTTTAAGGATAAGGAGAACTTCCTCGATCTCGTTCGTGAGATGAAATCAGTATTTAACACGTATCGGCTTATTCTTTCCGCTGCTGTCCCGGTAGCCAAATTCCGTGTGCAGGAAGGCTATGAGATTGAGGAACTCGGTAGGTTACTTGATTTCATCAATGTCATGACGTATGACCTCCGTGGGAACTGGGCCGGCTTTTCTGACGTGCATTCACCACTCTATAAACGGCCGTTTGATGAATGGGCCTACGAAAAGCTCAATGTGGTTAGTACTTTACTTAGTGTGGAAGTGGTCTAAGGGGCCTATAGGGTCTTCTATCCCACTTTTGATTCTAAAGCTTTCATTAAACCAGCCAACCAATTTAGCCTATTGCAAATATTTGTAGGGTTACTAAGTGATCAACTTGAGCTCACGCAGATTCTACTTCCCTGCTGCTACTAGGTATTGGTCATAAGAGTATAATAGATCGTGATAGACTTACCAAGCGTGGCTTTTGTGGTTTGGTCCTCGGGTCGCATTTGCTATCTAGAAACATCAATTACACACTTTAAGCCTTCACTTATTAAATGTCTCTAAGGGAGATTTGTCATGCAGTTATATGTAATATTCGTTTCGTGTTCAAGTTCATTTCAACTTGTCAGTGAGAGCCCAAATAGAGCAATAGTTGAAAATAGCAAAAAAAAAAAAAAAAAAAATACATAACGACAAGACTGTTATATGCCCAATTGTGACTCTTTTAAATTCCTCGGAACAGTTTTCCACAGTTGAGCCATTTGAAGAGCAAAAAATTTGTCGGTGTTTGTAATTCGGCAGCGCGCCTCGATATTTTGGCATTTTAATGTATTTATTTTGTATATCGTTTTGCACTGTACGTTGCTTTTCTCTAATTTATCTATGAATATTGTTATAATTGAAAATATTGTTAGTCTCTAAGTGTTCATTTTAAACACAATATATATATATATATATATATATAGTGTTTGGGAACTATAGTATTTTATCGGGTTTCCGATATATATGCTTATGCTTCATATGGCTTCAATGCTAAACTTGCTTTTTGAAGTTAGTTCGTACATTCTACGCAAACCATCTAACAATGCAATAACATTAATTATTATTCTTATAATCAAGGGTCCGAAATGCCTAAAAAAGAAGAGATGAAGATGTAAACAAGTATCCAGCTATAACCCGAATAGGAAACATATTTTATTTTGACTGTGTAAACCTTAAAGGCCGGTAATACTTATAATAGAGGTAACGTCAAGTGATAGTCATATATTGCCTAAAAGCTATCACCTAATGATTTGCTTCACAAAATAGCAAAATCATTGCAACGATTTTTTTTCATGCAACGATTTTTTAACACACTTCATGCAACGATTTTTTTTTTTTTTTTTTTTTTTTTTTTCATGCAACGATTTTTTAACACACTTGTTCACAATCTTGATACTGATGGTAGAATATATTAGCACGGACGACACTGGTGACCGCCTTAGTATCTGTGAACTTTGGCGCGGCGTTGTTTTCAGACATGGAGAATAAGAAAGAAATTGCTGCCGGTAATTTACGATCAGCCAAATAGACATTACGCTCGACGAGAAAAGCAAACTTTTTCCGTAATGGGGAAAGTATTTGGTAAACCAACCATATTTTTCACGTAGAGCTTTCCGAAACAAATCTCTAACGACTTAAGGGGTAGATTTGGGACATGGAGAGAAATGAATAGATATACACTTTGCATAGTAGTATACGAGACGGACTCGTGAGCTTTGCCCCACGCTTGTTTTTATTTAATTCGCTGATGTTACACCCAAACCAACCTACCATAGACTATAACAGATAAACAATAAACTCTACTATACGTAACGTTTTGCCCTTGTGCAGTCGTTTCATCAGCCTGTTATAACATGTTAAATGTTACATTTTGCTATATTTCTCTTAGTTTTCGCTGGTGACCCTGTTTTCGGGACGCATGTGAATAGAATTGACTGGTAGTCCACTTCTGAGCAACGTATGTGTTGCAACATTTATCGAATTTTTACTAAGCTCTATCGATTGGTCTTGAGTTAAGTTTCTTCTCATCTTTCAAACGGCACTTTCTACCCGAAAACTGAAGTTCAACGATGTGGTACTTTGCACAGGAAAATGTTTTCAGTATTTTGGTATTTCTCCCGAAGAGCCCCTTAAAAAATATTTTGGAAAAAAATGTTCAACTAAAATGTTCGTTATATCAGCAGCTATGACTTCCCACTTAACATGTATAAGAAGTTTGTTCAAAAACAATTCAAAGGTAAATCGAAACGCGTTCTCACACCCTTTTATCTGGGTGAGACGAACCCTCCAATAGATTTTTTTCACACTGAAATATTTATTCTAGAAACAGAGACATGTACTGTATTTCTACCCAGCTAGTCGGGAATTAACGACTTAATCAAAAATAGTAAACAAGAAACGCTATGTTGAATCTTTGCCCCCTGTTTTCAATCTGGAAACTGAAATTTTTGGTACAGGAGCATGCGTTGGATTTTGATTGGAATTACGAACGACCTTCCTACAAAGTCCTTCATGTAAATCACTGACTGCCATTTTTACAATAAAAAAAACACTTATTAAAAACGCCATTAAAAGATACTACATTTCAACTTTTGCAACTTTATGGACGCAAACTTCTTTTATGAGCTTTGTAAAAAAAATGCTAAAAAAGAGCAAAACTGTAAGAACAACCTATTTGCTCAAATTAACATCATGATCTGTGAGATTAAAAACAAATTGCTTTTAAGAAAAGGTATTCATGGTCGGCTCTATCTTACGGGCAACTCTATCGGATAGTACGCGAAATATCTGCCAAAATTCAGCCTGATCCGATCATTTTAGGGGTCGACTTGGGCTGAACAAATGAACAAACGGTAAGAGTATATATATACGTATATATATATATACTCTTACTGTTATATATATATATATATATATATATATATATATATATATATATATATATATATATATATATATATATATAACGGCAACAAAGCGACAAAGCATTGAGAAGTAAGGCTAAAAGCATAATCTGATCAATTGTTGTTTATAATTGATTACAGCACGATGGACTTCAACTATGGGTTGATGGTGGAGCGCCGAAGCATAAACTCATTGTCGGCATTCCGTTCTATGGTCGCACGTTTACCTTGCAAAACGCTGAAAATCGAGGTCTGAAGGCGTACATCAATAAGGAGAAAAACGGAGGTCTTCCAGGAACCTATACCAATGCCACCGGCTTCCTTGCGTACTACGAGGTTTGTTCGATGCTGAAACCCGGCGGAGGGTGGATTAGAAAGTTTGATCAAATCGGCAAGGTCCCTTATGCCTACAAGGATGATCAATGGGTAGGTTATGAAGACGCGGAATCAGTCGCTATCAAAATGGACTATCTTCGTGAGAATGGCTACGGAGGCGCAATGGTTTGGGCAGTCGATATGGATGACTTCAGAGGTAGTTGTGGTGAGAAAAATCCCTTGCTAACGACAATCGATACAAAGCTCAAGGACTATAAAGTGCCGGTCATTAAGAAAAGCATTGCTAAACGACCTAAGCCTGTCCTTAACAATCACTCAAAACCCCAACGCCGGAACCAAGGAACACCCTCACCTAACAAGAAGGCATCTACCACCCCACGAACAAGATTTCCCCCACAGACTAAAACAACAAAGGCGACAATGAAACCGAAAACTACCACCATAAAGCCGACTACCAAACAGAAATCTACGACGGCAACTCTTCTGAAGACTTACGGAGACCCCGGCCGAAAATACCCGAACGACTGCAACGAACCTAATATTTCCTATATTCCTCATGAGAAGGACTGTCAGAAGTACTATTGGTGCGCATATGGGGTGCCTATTGTTATGTTCTGTGAGGGTGAGACTATTTGGAATCAGGAAGATGGTAACTGCAAGCCGCCCGAACAGGTAGAACGTCCCGAATGCAAAGGAGACAATCCTGTGTCAAATCCTTTCACAAGGAGAAAGCGCGGAAACGCTCACAACTAGGTCTTCTTTCTCATCTCAAGAACAAGTACCACACGAGATCTAATAATAGCGGCTACCCATGCCCCCGCCTTTTTGCCTCTTTTTCATTGGTTGTCTGGTTGACGCCTGACATCACTACTTACGAGGCGCCTCTACTCTGACACCTATCTATATTCCCTTTGCTTGCGGGGCTTCTCCTTTTCCACTGTATAAATCTGTTCCTCTTGAGCTCGTTGAGCCCGAGTTAGAGAGGCGCATATGGAGAATTATTGCGCTCAACTGTGAATGATGAAAATGAGAAACGGAAGTTTTAACTTATATGTTAATAATATTGCTGAATGAAACGAAATAAACAATGATGATGATGATGATGATGATGATGACGATGATTGTTATTATGAAGAAAAAGAAGAAGAGAAAATAGACTCTGCTTGGCATCAATTTTTTCTATGTGCTAGATTGCTTCACAGTTTCACATTTTGAGATTTCTGGTACCTTTCCATGCACATATGATGGGTAAGCTAGTTATATTGTAGCGGCGTGGTGACGCGCTCGCTGGAAGATACAGGCTACGTGGACTTGAGGTTAGCCCAGAAAAATCTAGCTTGCTTGAATTCTGCCAGTACTGGACTTTGCCCCAAATAGGCAGCGAGTTATGAAGAGATAACTGTTTTGCCCATAGGATCTTCGCGAACGTAAAGAATTGCCTCAGCATAATCTAATAAAAATGGTGTTGCTAGCTTTCAATCGCAACTGTAGAATTTTGCAATATCATTATCAAATCAGACGGCTACTTTATGTTACGTTCAAAGTAGAAACACTCCCTTAGTAATGGCCTTAAAAGTTGAGACAAGAAAAGATCTTCTGAGCCACCATAAAATATGTATAAGCAGGTGATTATGTGCTTGCTAACTCCGACGATAAAAATAATTATTATATTATGCTGCCCGGATCTTTCCTCACTGAAAGCTCTAGTAAGTAGTATCTTATCGATATATCTAATCTTATATATCCAATGTATCCAAAGGGTAATTCAAATTCATACATAATATGAAGTGAAAAGCTTTGTTGTTGGTGCTAATATGTACTTTGCTCATCGTCTAATTACTTTTGCGTTGTCAAACCCATACATATTTGTTTCCGTTTCTCTGTTACTGTTCAACTCAACATGAATAGCTACGCTGGAACACTGACTGTTTATAAGATAGTATCATGAGGCATATTTTCTCACGATAAGACAAATTGGAAAAAGAAATCTCCACTGATTTTGTAGTATATATAGTCAGATATTATAGTGTCAATCGACCTGTTATACTGTTTCTATTCGTATCATGTCGATCCAATTCTCAGCAATAACCTATAAACAACAGCTCATTTTTACTATTACAGATTATCATTATTTAATAAAATAGTGCAAATGCATCTGGTTTAATTTTTGAAAAAAAATTACTACGTTCGGTTATGCGTGTATTCTTCGACTACGTTAAATTCGTCTGCTAATTTTGCCTTCGGCTTATAACATCCCAATTATCCGAAACGTTATAAAGACTGAAAAGAAACGTTTACAGTTGCCTAGTGATTTACTTTTTATATTCGTTAGAAAATACGTCAGTACAATCGTCGTTTTGCCTTGTGTGTTGAATAGAGGCTGGCTTCAAAGATGGCCAACGGGCCATTCACTAGCCTGTGTGCTCGATGGCCGCTTCATTGGTTGCAACATTCCTGCACGACGTCTAATAATCTTAAATTCTGAATTAAAATGTAAGCCATGTACCTTTTATAATTGAAAGTATCTATTGTATCTAAATTGATATTATGGGGTCGGGCAGATTAGGTTAAAATGGAAAAAAGTGCCTAACATCGTAGGGGCATTAGAGTACATTTAAGCCAATTTGATTACGATGTACAAGCAGAAATTTATGTATAGGTAACAAACTTCATAACTTTGCAGGGCGGCATCGAATCATACTTGAAGTTTGACAAAATACTTTTAACGCTTTTATTAACTCTACTAGGAATCTCATTCTTTGTGTGATCTGACAACAACCATTATTCGATACTGTGCCGCCCAACTTTTAAGCTAACGCTGGTTTTGTAAGTGCTCGTATGGTTACACTGCCGCAGATAACGGCAAAAAGGGTTGCGTGCAGTAATCGATCAATTTTGATACCAGAAATTCAACTCGACACAAGTTAGGGGTTCTACAAGAAATAGCTGAAGGAAGGAGTAAATAGTTGGATAAGAAAAATGCCCCAGAGACCCTATTTGTCGTATATATTTTTACGAGGGAGCCAGCTCGTAAACGTTAGGTGTGGTGCAGTGTGCGTTTCCTACTGAAAATAAGAGACCAGCAGATCAGTTCCAAACGGCACCCAACATATCGGTGGCATGCGACGGGTAACAACCTACTCACGACTTAGCAGTAGTAGTTCTAATGATGTTCTTAATTGCCATTAAAATCGTTGAAAATGAAGCTTTGTGTCGTTAAAGCTCTACGCTAGCTATAATACTGATACAGTTCTATATATTGTGGGCATACGGAACTTCTGTAGCTAAGTTGAAAGTTGGGCAATATGTGAACGATTTTTATCATCGTAACGTGCCGGATCGTTAATCCTACTTAAGTTGTAAGTTGAGTTACAAAATGCTATGGAGAAGTTCATCGGATTCTCTTTATAGTAGCAGTAACAATAATAACAGGTAGAGGATATTTTCTATGTGCGCGTAACTTCTAACGCCCACAACATGACAAAGGGCGCCCTATACAAATACAATTTGATGAAATTTACTTCATAATATGTTTGCTTTCAACCATAGATAAACAAAGCCTGGCTGCTTGTTGCATATCTCTTACTTCTGGGGTGATGGACGTTCCGACGTTTGTTATACAATAAAAATGCACAAGGTAAAGTAATGCGCAATGGCAGCCCATTGCATCAAGTGCTGTTAATGAACACTTTACTTTACAGTGGGCAAATGATGACGCGCCGTGCTTTAGAACAGATCGACGATAATACTTTTGCTACTTTTTATTTTTCGCTGAAATACATTTTTTCCTCATTCTACTGTGCTTGTGTCACTCTGAGAGTTTTCGCTTGGCCGCTGTCGGCGACAGTGGCCAAGTTTGAGTAGCGATGCGCCCCTATAAAAGCGCTGTATTCCTTTTTATAAGCAGACGATCTTGCTAAATGCGATAGCTTATCTAGATAATTAGTGTATCAGTCCATCCGTAGCCGTAACTGCACAGCAGATGTAAAGAAAGTAAACAGGACGCGTTTCATTTTGGTACTGCATCGCTTGCTGTAAAATCACCCACGTAAGAGCTCCTACGACTTATCAGTGCTTTGCTATGAATTTTAAATGCCTACTTTTTAAATTATTCATTGGCTCGTCGTGTTAAAACGATCAGCGACGAGACAGAAATCGTTATGACCGTCATTACCACCCTACAGCGAACATTCTAATTATAATTAATTAAAATCGTAATTGGTTCAGTTTGTCTGCTCCTGAGCCACCCTGAACATTTCTAGACATTACTTCAGCTGCGAAGCGTTGGGTCCTCATTCAGTTCCGAGACATACATAAAGCTTGTATCAAGGTCAAAGGGTCATTATCTTGTCAGAGCTGAGATCTCGTAGAACAGGGTATTCGTCTAAAAGTAGTTTACCGATACTCCAATATCTACATGTGATTTTTTACGAAATTTCAGTCGCTTTTAAACAGCATCGATTTTCTGTTGGCTACATATTTGCTAGCTGCCGCAATGGCTATTTAGAAATAAACGGAAAAACACGAGCCTTCCAATCGATGTGTCTGTCGAAGCATTGCATAGCACTACGTGACTATAGGGAATGACGACAATCTCAGTTTAAACACAGCATTTGTCACCATATTTATTATATATATATAGCATATAATATAGGCTTATATTGTCGATACTTTTAAAATTAACCATATGTTTTCATTTTCTCGATGAGGGCATTTAACTGGCTATATATATATATATATGTCCTTTTTTATGTATCAATACTATTACCATTCGTACTACAATTATTAATATTAAAATTATCACGCGTTGATTTGCTCATTTCCCGTCGTGTACAATAAACTCACAAATAATATTCAAGCAGAAAACATGGCGGAGAACAATGTGATAAAAATTAAACTCCTTTAAGTGTACAATTTATTCACGTGAACTATGGAAACGTGAATTTGGGCGCGACCGAAAAATCCACTTCAAAAAACAATGAGGAATAGAGAGAGATTGTAGAAAATACCTGTATATATCTGGCTTTTCATCATTATGAAATAATAAAAATTCTATTCTTATAATTATTATTGTTTGGATTAAATAATAATTGCAGTAACCATCTTTTTCTACCACACCGATACCACATGTCAGGTATACTATCACTCTGGACAATAGCAATAGATAGAGGAGTAGGGAGAAATGCACAGGAGACTGAGTTCGGTTGAAATTGCAGCCGCAATCCGTTTCGACGTCCAGAGAAAGACGGCCGCATTGAGACGACCGTTCCCTAAACTAGCGCAGTGGTATATCACTGACGGATATTAGATTCTCTAAAAAATTCGCTCTCGTTAGAGGGTCCAACGATGTTAGCCAACGTTCCGGTAGCCACTGCCTTTGCTTTCCTCGGTAAGCATTTTAGCGCACGTTCGGCTCAAGAATGATAGTAGTAATATTTATAACTTCTACTTAGTAATGTATACAGTTTTCTTCTCGACAAGCTAGCTAGGCAAGTTGGCACGCCCAATGGCCATCGATCCGTAGTCAATCCGTTAGTTCATCGGAGTCATCAGTCACCTCGAAGCGCTGTTCTTGGTAAGGACGGATTTTGTTTGATGGTTTGACGATATCTTGCTCAGCCATTTGCCAAGTAGCGTGACAACCCGTCATCTCACACGATATCTTATAATAAATACAGTCTCTATCTTGTCTTTCTCACTTTCCAGCAGAATCATTACTGAAAATATTTTTTTGCTAAACTGTCTCTTCTTTGCATCATATGGTTACATTTTTCTTCAAGTTTGTTTTGATCTCTCTCGTTTATCGAAATGTTGAAATGGATTACACTGAAAATGGCAGTGTGAAATCACTTGCGGGTATCGCTATATCTCATAGATTACTTTACGACATAATCAAATGATCGTTATAATTATGGTATTTTTTTTACACTTTTTTGAGACCGCACATTTTTCATCTACCTAATATGAACTCAGACACTATCATGAGATTGATATTGCTGCTAAATCAGTAATCGGTCGCTGTTTGTAGCGATTCTCCCGCCACAATTTATCGACGTAGCACATATTTACTATAGATGCTATAATACTTCACTTTATTCTCGCTATCAATCAGTCGTCATATGAAAAGAAAGTTTGAGATTCGAATATTTATTTTATTCTGGAAACGGGGGGATGACACCGCCCCCAGCCAGCGACCCCCCAGCTAGCCCCCAGGCTAGCGACTCGCGTTCCCAGAAGAGGCGACTGTAAATGATTAGAGCAAATACGAAGGTCGAATAAGCATAGTGCAGTAGGTCAAATGGAATAGCGTATTCCTACGCGCTTCGTCTCATAGTACTACCGTAGAGGTCGCAGTATCTGCTGCGGCATTGCTTCCGGTGTTTATTGTAAAAAAAATAAAACACAGTTTCCTTATTTCTTTGTCCGTTTCGTTCACACAAAGCGAATTTACATTTACATTATAGCGAAGTGTCCGCCGTATTCGTAGATCGGCAAGTTAAGCGATTGATTCAGCGTCTTCTGCGCCACCATCGATTTCATTTCAACATGAATCATTGTTACAATCATTGTCACCGGCATAGTATAATTAATATTATGAAAATCCAAATGTACAACAATGGAATCATCCGTTACGTCTACTGTGAGTAATTATATGTACTAACTAATAATAATGGTTTTTATAATATCATGCTAATATCTACTACATTTATTTCGTTACAGATTATATTATATTATTATAGCGTTACGCACTCACACAACCAGCCTAGCGTGTCGTCTCTAGCCTGATATTATGGTTAGGTAAGGAAAAATACTTTTCTTTATCTATACTCATCTGTATAAATGTTCTTTCTGTACAATTTATTATCGATTCTATTCGTAGTTCCCCCATTAGCTAGTTCAACGATTCATATTCTTCTCTACGTTTGCCCATGTCCACTCGTACCGGTACGTACCATTATAATTAGGAAAATAAAAATTCTACATAAATATACACGTATTTATAGATAGTACGTAGCTCTCACATTTGTTCTTGTTATTACTAACTAATTAACAATCATTGCCGCTATATAAAGTTAAATAGGTCCCTCTAGATTTTTGCTGTTCATTACAGAGTATTTCAATTCAAGTGACTAAGTAAGTAATAATCTATTACCTTCCTAGTGAGCTGCAAGTGAGTCTGTACGTGAATATGCCGTGAAAAATTAGCTTCCACTAATTTTTCTTTACCCACTAATTGTATCGTAGCAGATATTTCGTTTGTGGTTATCAGCTGCAGAATTTGAACATCCAGATATGGTCTGCTCTGTGTCGAATCAGTAGGAAAACTGACTAACTTCCTTTTGCTGCTCCTGCTATTGACGTCGAGTAAAGTTCATCCTCAATCATTTTCACACCCTCACCACAGTCTCATGATGATAATGATGACAATATCGTCACTATGATTGATCACAGGATAGATGTGATGGCAGGAAAGGCGACTCACGTACTACCCGTAACACGCTACGTGCCTTTCGTCTCTCTCATAGCTTTCAAGTTCGCCTACAGCGGCATCCTCCTCCGTGACGGCAAGACTGTTCACGAGATCCTCAGAGTTATCACTAATTAGAATAATGTAGACGAAGCACCGGATTGGCACCGGTTTATCGGACAGCCCTCCGGACCCAACGTATTGTATCAGAGTATGAGGACGATTTCGAGGCGATTCCGTTCGAGGCTGGACGAGCATCTAACGCCGTCTGATCGTCATTTAGCGAGTAAGCATAATGTTATTACGGCACTCTGAGCGGTCTACTAGCTGTTTCGTCGCTGACATAAAGGGGGTGGGGGGGGAGGTCAAAAATTAGATCTGTTTCCCTTCTGTGAGCAGCATACACACACACACACACACATCGAAACGTAGACACACTCAGGCGCATATTATCACCACAGATTTACCGTCGTGGATTTGATTCTTATGTATGTATCTATATACTATGGGCCCGCTTTTCTGTCCGTTCGACTGTCAGACGACCGTTCATATTACGTGAGGATACGATTGACCGTTGTCCTAAGCGGACGCATTTATTCCGTTTTTACCACCACCTATTTCTTTATGCTTCTCAAGCGTATTTTCGGCTTTTTTTCTGAAATGTCGCAACAAGTTCAACACAGTCACCTCCACATTTAGAGAACGATAAAATTGTCGACTCCAGGTAAAATGTGTTTAACTTTTTAATGTCCGGCAAGTTTGGTCATTATATTTACTAGCAAGAGTGGAGGTTACTGCGGAGCACTATAAACACTGACAGCGATGCCGCCTGCGGCACATTGGTGTCTAGTTCGAAGGTGCTACCATAAACAAGTCAGAAATCCTTTACGTCCTTGATTTACGGTCAGAAGTTTTAATTGAGGTTCGATTCAGTAAAATCCTGGCTGTGATTAGAGTTGATAGTGGTACTTAGAAAAACGGGAACATCTATATCCTGGAGATCCCGCCCAGCCTATAGCATAAAAATAAACCTTTCATCCGAATATTATAATGCGATTATTTCCCGCAGCAAATTGAAAACAAAAAGATCCAATAATAAACTTGAGTATTTGAGCACAATGTTGGGTGGGTCTGGGTGTGGCAGATCGCGGTTGCGGGGAGATCTAAAGTGATGAGCTGGAGAGACTGTAAACGGCATTAAGGTTGATGACCAGAGCTCCAGTTTCGCTTTATGGTTCGCGTTCAACTAATACCACAGGTGCAACCACAATTCACTCGCTATGTGTAATAATGAATTACACTGAAATATCCTTCCCGGCCATTTCTTGCTACTGTGATATAGCTTCTTCTTCTATGTCGCTACCTTCTGTACATCTGTAATGATGTACCTCAACGAAAAGCCCGATGGAGGTCAGCTGGATGGTCCACCCTGGTGATTTCGTCAGGAGATACCTCCTCACATCGTCTGGACATATCTTCAGAAGTCCGATGATCATAGGGAAAGTCGAAGTAACGAGGACCTGCGGCTTCAACAGCTAAACGATAAGCAGCTGAACTGTATGGCTGAGGAGGCATGTGTACTGCGCTAAGAGGTATACCGCTGGGTGGGGTATACGAAGGGTGGGGATGTCCTTGTGGCGAAGAGAGTGGAGGAGTATACGCCCCTCCAGAATGTGCCCCTAATGGGGGCGTTGGCCCACCCGGATGCCCGTATCCGGGTGGTGTGGGGGCACCATACGGAGAGCGCTGCGAAACCATCATAGAGTCAACCGGTGTGCTATGTGGAGCAGCAGGCTCATGCGGAGACTCGCATTGGTAATTCGCACTGGGCGGACCAAGGTGAAGTGGAGGTCCTGATGACGAATCCAAACTCGTTTGGCCAGATACCGGCACTGACATTGCGCTCGCCTGCGACATCGGCGACATAGCTTGCGTCATCTGACCAACTCCTATATAGGGATTGCTACGGTTAGCAAAAGACTTCTTCTTCCGTGCAGTTGTAGGCGTCCCATTGGCGTCGGACGCACTCTGAGCGGCGCGCATGTCCAATTCCCAGTAAGAACCCTGTAAAAACCATAATACCCAATGTCGTTAAATGCTAATGCCAACAAATCGTCGATAGAGAGAGACTAAAGATAGTTGAATTAGATATGTTATACATATAAAGGTATGATATGTTCGTATAAGATTATACTCTAAATACCATACATATATAAACACTCTTCTGAGCTTTATAACAATTACTAAGCCAGTTTGTCAATCCGAAACGCGGTCTATGTGTAATCGTTGACTGGTGGGTCCGATGTTACGAGGAGCTAACATTATCTACAGGGAGAGAGATCTAGTTCAATCACTTTAATGCCTATATAAAAATATTCTAGAGTAGTAGTGTATTCGAATGATCAAAGTAACATTGAAACAACAAGTACCGATCTAGAAAAACAAAGAAACGTGTGAAATTAGTCCTCAGGCAATGCTGACTAAAGACCTACACAGTTACTAAAAACAACAAGATGTGCGGCCCAGCGGCCGTAAATAAAGTTCGCACATTAGCCTCTTAATTTTAAAAAAGTGTAATGGTGGTCGTATTAACAAGAAGTTGTCACATAACTACTAGCAGTTATAATGAAAATAATGATTCATCTTACCTTTCCCGGGTCATCTTTTGAACGTGCCACCTTTCTGAAGCACTTGTTGAGCGACAAATTGTGGCGGATCGAATTCTGTAACAACAAGTAAGTATAAAATGTTTTCGTCATACGTTCCTGCATAGATCACAAAATAAAGTCACTAGGATGTGTAATACAAATTGCTTTATTTAACCTTTATAATTTATATCTATGCATATATTGTTTAGAATGAGCCATCGTCTTCATCCAGCTCAGTCAAAAAGTTGTGTGTGCTCTCTCTCTCTCTCTCTCTCTCTCTCTCTCTCTCTATATATATATATATATATATATATATATATATATATATATATATATATATATATAATCTAACCCTACCCTCGCTAGGTTCCGAACATATCAATTTTGTTGCGAAAAAATTTACCGGTGAACAATAAACACAATGTAAAGCCTCCAGCAAACGATACGAGGCGTGATTACGTGTATCATACAAATTTATAGAACGTACGGGAATTCGAACAAATACCAAACTTTATACTAACTGAATAAATAATGAGCTCTTCCTTAGCAGGCGGCTTGAATTAGATAACACGACCTTAAGGTCTTGGTGTTTCGCTTAGTTTCTGTAACTGGAGCTCGAACAGAATATTGACTTTGCGCCTACGTGGCTCAGGTCAGCCTCTAATGGACGAAGCTGAGGGGAATGTTAGTGATAACGATAACATCAACTCAAGTCAGCACAACACTCTTTTTGCCTAAATTACTTTCAGAAATTACAACTTTCTTACGACTCTGTAAGGTGAAAGTTGTACGACCCACTATTTAGGATCGAATAATGAAATATGGGCAGAATTCTTTAGGCAGGCTGCTCAAGTACATTTACGACTTTTCGGGCTTTTCATGCCGAATAGTTATGGATATCCACGGTACCTAGCTGTTGAAACAGACATACCTTCTCTTTATATTTACGCAAGTATCAAACAAGCATCACAAGTTAGATTCAAACGCCAGAAGTTATTTTTCATGTATGAGGCTTCCTTTATTCTTACGCGAGCCTAATATATCATAATTATTCGGTCGATTCAAGTAACTTCGACTATATAAAGCGACGAATTAGAATTTTTCAACCGTCTGGTAAGTTCTCACTTACCTCTGGTTACGTTTGTTGTGCGCATATAGGCACACATTGGACTATTATGGGTCTTCATGCTAAAATACCTTTATTTTTTTTTAACAACAGCTGTCTTCCGGCGTCATTGTCAACAATAGGGTGTAATTAGGAAATGTTTATTGCCCCAATTTATTATTTCTAATCTTACACGATATATGGCCAGATCCCACGATGCTGGTTACAGCAATACACACAGTCTGTCCGTGGCATTTCTAACCAAAAAAGCTTTTAATATTTATTTATTTATTTCGTCCATTCGTAAACGATGAAAAATATATATATGAAGATCCATGTATATATATACATACAGAAAACGATTTACATTTTCCGATAACCTCCTGATCTGGCGAGATTAAAAATGTAGGTGCTTAACAGGTATAGCCATTATTTATTTAAACGATAAACTTAGATTATGCAGCTGCAATTTCTTTTCGTTTGAAAAGAGCTCGAATGCATAGTGAACTCTAGGTATCATATCTGATGTATTTGCCGCCGTACTCTATGGCTGATCGCTGCCCATTGACGGGCGAAATGTCGACGAGAGGCTCTGTTTTCTCGTGTTTAGCAAACTTTTAGCATACTCAAAAAAGCCAGAGGGAACATTAATAATAAGGAGAAAAATTAAAGGCGGTTACGTGCGAATTTCATACATAATGATTTGATCTCCTAGTATGCCTCTGGCGGTGACATGGGCTATAACTGGAAATAGCAAAAATTACCTGAGTACGCAAGCAGACACCGCAAAATGTCCTACTTCACTGAGTTGTCGGCTTATGGACCAGCAACCAAGACTAACACACGGCCTAGCTTTCGCAGCCTTTGATCGGGCATAATGTTCTCGTACTTTTCAACATCGTTAATTAGACTTTATCATATTTGCAAATCTTATATACTTGCCACATGTATACATAAATAAAATATCGGTGGATGTGTCACAGAGTTAAATATTCGATGACAACAAACACGCCAATCAATGTCGGTTCCTCTTCAAATATGTTGGGCTGATATTTTTAACGAGTATTAGTTATTTACGGGAATGTGACTATTCCTTCCCGATCTAACTCAGTGAGGTGCATCCGCACTACACCAGATAGTGCCTCAAAAGATCATTTTTTTCCTTCGGTTGAAACTTATTCATGTTCCTATTTGACGAAGGCAGCTTACTAAAGGCAATTGTAGCATGAAAGGAAGCGATTATCGTTCTACGAAGTGCCCTTCCTTTCTAATTATAGCTAATTAAAATATTGTTAACGTTTGTTTTATCTATCGACTATTGAGATCAATGCTAAGTCTTCGATCGCTAGTTGTAGAGAGTTTCATCAAATCAATATTGCCCTCATGATTGTTAATTGATTTACCGCAGTGTATTAGCACTAGGTACGGCAATACCTATTGCTTAAGTAGGAGAAAACCTTATAATTCGTTTGCATTATAAGGCTTGTATACCATTGAAAAACTGATAGCATTGTAAGACGTCAAGGTAGAAGGACAGATTTTGAGCTAGAACTAATAATTAGCAATAGGTCTCAGATTTATTTTCTTTATTCTATTCTAGCAATTGCTGAGGCTAAGCACCAGACTATTGGCAATCGTTCGCTGCAGTTTACCATCGTGCACTCGCCAAGTCATCATCATCATCATCATCGTACATAAAATGAAGCGTGCAACCCAATTAAGGTGTGCTTATAAGCCGGCTAGGTTAGATGGACGAGAACGAATCTCATCACCAACAACCGAGTCACTATGGAAACGGCTTTGGAATGAGTGATGATAAAGACCAGCTAGAAGCCGCCGCAGCCTGGCAATACCACAGCGTTAATAATGTTGAGACTAGCGTTAATTCCTTCACTGCTGCTGCTATTGCGAATGATGATGAGGATGCCGTGGTTGACTGCTCATCTTTGCAGCTGCTCAATTTTCTTGACTGACCAAACGGGAATGTCGTAGAACAGCACTACTACCTGTCGGCGTGTATGGTTCCAGCAGCAAAAATGCGTAACGGCTGGCTGGCTGGCCTGTGGCCCACGAGTACCATCAGCAGCACCAACGCTCAATTGCAATTATCAAGCGCAAAGAGGCGTGTTCCTGCTTGCTCTTCTGCTCGCCATCAGTTTCAGCATTAACAGCAGCGGCAGCGGGGCGACTTCTGCCAACAGCAGAAGTGTGCATTCTGTCCGCATCGCGTTATTACACTGCTCTAGCAGCCATTCACTATAACTAATCTAGCGTCGATGCCATGCCGCTGCTGGCGCTGTCGTCGTCGTCGTCGCCGCCGCCGCCGCCGCCACCATCGAAATCATTACCGTGGCAACCGCAGCAGTGCTTGCCACCAAAGTCACTGTCAGCGGTGCCGCTGCTTGTAATTACGGCTAAAATTGGGAGAGTAGCAGAGCGTTGTAGAGCGGTAGCCGGTAGTTGCCGACATAGTCGCGAGTAGCTTCCCAGCGTGCCCAACAGATGCTTGCTGTCGCCGACGAGTCGAGGCATCTAGGTGATGGGTTTGCTCTAGCAAGAGTTGCCATAGCAATAGCAGCTGCACAAGCGCGATCAACAGCAGCAACATCCAGGCAATAGCGCGCAACACTGGCTTCAGCAGCTACGGTGCCAACAGCAACGTCTTCGTCGTTATCATTGGTAGAAAAAATTTTTTGCACTATCGCATCACCGCTATGATAAAGCTACCATGGGTAGCTGCCACTGGCCCTACTACTACGATTAGATACAACCGCTGTTGATGCTGCGGCTGTGTGTCTACCGCTCATCTTCTTATATTAACTGCGGCGAACTAATTCGCCTCAGCGGCACTGGCACCATTTGACTTAATTTCACTCGGAACCGTCGAGGTGACGCAGACTCACTCCACTAAATGGATCGCTATTCCGTCGCAATAAAACCAAATAATCAGCGATATAGTTTAGCTAACTTCATCTATGCTAGCTCATGGGTTCATCATCATCATCATCGACGCTCACATAAACCTAAACTAGTACGCTTGCTTCTACTTTAGAAGAATTCTAGAATTTAATAATAATAATAATTCGATACTACTACTACTACTACTACTACTACTACTACTACTACTACTACTACGTACTACTACGTACTACTACGTACTACTACTACTACTACTACTACTACTACTACTACTACTACTACTACTACTACGTACTACTACTACTACGTACTACTACGTACTACTACTACTACTACGTACTACTACGTACTACTACTACTACTACTACTACTACGTACTACTACTACTACTACTGCTACTACTACTACTACTACGTACTACTACTACTACTACTACTACTACGTACTACTACGTACTGCTACTACTACTACTACTACTACTACTACGTACTACTACGTACTACTACTACTACTACTACTACGTACTACTACTACTACTACGTACTACTACTACTACTACGTACTACTACTACTACGTACTACTACGTACTACTACTACTACTACTACGTACTACCACCCCTCTCTCCGAAACGCGAGCCTATCGATAGCTAGCTTAGTAGCAAGCTAACTATCGATAGGCTCGCGCCAATTCAAATACACAGATTACGTAACTGAACTTATATTATTATGATTATAGGCATTTGTATAATTTAGAGAAAAAAAAAGCAACATTGATTGTATGTCGCGACCGCTCATGTATTAACTTCTCACGAAGAAACAAGATCAAATGATATTATTCAATATTTACGGATAGCTAGACGCCACGAGCTTTGTAGGCCAAAACGCTAGTACGGGATGATAAACTGTCGTGTATTAACTTTTAGAAAATATATTAAAAGTTAGACAAGCTTCTGAAGGATTTGCGAACTTTCACGAACTTGTCTATTTTTTCTGCACTAAGCACTGATATTTTTCAGCTACCTTTATGCAGATAAGACTTAACATCCTATCGAAGTATTTAGAACTTCATTTTCACAATATTACAATCTAAGTTTATTCCAGCCTATCTATTTGCAGTGAAAATCTTTTTGCAGACTTCAGCGGTTTCTGCACACTAGCAACCCAAAACGACCCTTCTCACAATAGGAGGAGTAAACATATGATAATAATCAAACAGTAAGAGAAAAAATATAATGATAAAATCTGACTAAACCCGACTATTTTGCATGAAACAAATTGTGTAAGAGTATATTCCACACTATGTAGTGGTATCATCAGTATCAACGACAAGCATCTAATAAAACGACCGGCCACCTGACTTATTCCTCTGGCTCTCTTGTCCGGACAGGAACAACAGCAACGTCATCAGCAACCAATAACGCCGTCGTGGATAGTAAGACTACCATATATATATAGTCTTACTACTATTAGAAGTAATGGCGCTCGTACTGGTTGCTAGGCAGAAGCAAGTTGTGCCAGTGAAGTAACGTTTTCCGAACTCGGCCGAAAGTTGCCGGCGATAGTGCGACGTCAATGGCGGCGGCAAAGGCAGCAACGGAGTAGCAGTACTCATCCGCGTCGACTCATGCGAGCGACTGTCGAACAAGCGGACAAGCCAGCAACTAGCGAAACGACCATCACCGAGCCAGCTCAGCTCAGTGACGCCACGATTCGGAACACCCCTGCGACCTTGGCAGCGCTTAAGAGCGTCTTGAGCGCGTGTACTGGAGTGAACGACGACTACAACAAAGCCGCCAGCCGCTATTCTGCAGTTGGTCTAGTGCTGTTAGTGGCGCCACGAGTACAGCCGTCGTAGCGTCTACCACGACCAGCAGCACCGATGAACCGACAACAACGACGACGACGACGACGACGACGACGGCTTCGACGAGAAAACGCTCCATCAAAACGACAACTCTTTCGCTGTGGTCGAGCTGCTACCACCCTCTTGCCGCATGCGGCTCACAGTTTGCCACCAACGTAGTCTTGAAAACGACACGATGTTAGCTGGCTGGCCGACTGGTTGGTGCTTTCTCTTTGGGGATAGACACAGTAAACGTACAAACTGGCCTGACTGAGCTAATGGCACCGTCACCTCTTCAGTTTCCCGTCTCTCTCGTATTGCTCGAGACAAACGCCGCCGAGACAGCCAACGCAGGGTGACAGGCGGCTAGCCAAAAGTCAGCTAGGCTGTCAGGCAACTAGGCCGAGCAACAACTCATTTTGCACAAATTTTCCCAGCGGCTTGGCTCGACCCGTTGAGCCGTTCACTTGGCTAGTTGCTGAACTGCCCCGTTCCAGCGCGCCCGTCCGCTCCAATCAACCTAGCACCACACACTAGAATCGGCTCCAAAAGTACATCAGCCCCACAGAGGATACGATCCGTTTTCTGAAAACGGCAAGAACAGCAGAAACCACAGCGGTAAAAGTCATACGGCGCCGCTGGTGCAGCTGCTGGTCCAACGTTGCCGCTGCCGTGGTTGTTTCAGTGGGGGCCAAATCGGCTGGCTGGCTGGCTGACTGACTGGCTGTTTGGTGTGCCTGCTTCAGTTCGATGCTGGTTGTTGTTATTGTCGCTGCCGCCGTCGTCGCCGCCGCCGCCGCCGCCGCCATCGCTTGAATCCGCCCGCTGACAAATTCACAATTCAGTTCGTGGTGGATAAAACAAGAACTTGGCATGGATCTCGTTTCGGCTGTTGTGTCAGCTTTGCCGGATGCGCATCTGAGCGCGCATATCCATTGAAAGAGCAGCTCTCTAACAACCTGTTAAGTACATATATATGTACATACATGAACGGCCACGCTCACACATCTTAGTATACTGGGTTTCGAGTAAGGTGGTACGTGTAGCGAAAAAAAGAAGAGATAGACTAATAGAAGGATACAATGTTCGACTATGATTAAAGTACGTTCGCCGGTAGTAACTAATGAATGGAATATCCATATATCTACGACGACGTTCGCTGTGCATCGAAAAGACCTCACACGCAAGGCGCTGACGGGAAATCGTATGGTCTTTCCTCTAAGTGAATATATAATAAATGGAGAGGGTTCGAGTCAAAAAGCCGTTGGCTGATAACGCCAGCGGCCATCATCGATTTTCGGATTCTATTGGAATATGCAGCATCAATTTTCCTTTTGCCTGAGCGTTGCATCATGGGATACTGCCTTTACCGAGCGTACGAAGTAATGACTTCGCTGCCTGTGTGCGAATTACCCGTCTACCGGACTCGTAACTAGTTGTACTAAAGAGAGCGCGCGGGACAATGTCCCACTGCGGATTTTGTTTGCTATCGGTCGCGTATCAGGTTAAATTCTATACTATATATGCGTATAAAATTATATCAAAGAACAGGGTGACAGTCAAGCAAAAAAGGCTAAAGGAAAATTTCCAGTGTATGTACCGTTTTCAGCTCATTGACACTCACCTTCCATCCGGAGCCTGCTTCCTTGTAGAAAGGGAAGTTGAGACAGATCCAATTGTAGATATCAGCAAGGGTCATCTTCTTCGTGGGGCTGCTATTAATGGCAAAGGATATGAGGGTACTGTATGAATATGGGGGTTTTCGCAAATGGCTGCCACCTCCGCCACCTGCGGTTCCACCCGTCGCCACGGATCCGTATGGGCTCCCGATACTTACTCCGGGACTTCCTGAACCAACCAAACCACTACCTGGCCGATATCCTGCTGACAATTCACTGTGCCGACCAAGCGCTCGTGCAGTGCTACGATCCTCGCTTAAAATGTGCGTTCTGTAAAAAAAAATAGTCGCAGTCGTTAGAACCTGACCCGATGCCGCAAAACCATTATCTATTCTTCAATGCTCTATATTTTAGTATTTAAAAAGTACGAAATTCTTAATACTCGTGCATAATTCCGCTAGAGCAGTATAATTAGTGCCGCGTTGCCGAAGTTAAAAAAATTTGGAACCCTTGAAGTCAACGGCATTTGGCGGTCAATTAAATAAGGTCTCTTAGAGAAAAACAGAATTACGCATTTAGTAAATTATGTCCAGAAGAGTTCCTTGCTAGTTTTTTTACTTGTTACTGTAGAAGCGCTTGTCTAATATTAGCTAAACCATGCTCGCTTTTATCAGTGCCACTGCATATCTCTAGACACGTGCATTTAGTCGTTCGCGTTGTTGTATTCAAGCATTTTCACTTACCTCGACGTGTCAAGATGATTAGATGACGGTGACATATCAATTCGGCCTCCGCCGCCGGCGTCGACAGGACCTTTAAGCGTTTCGAGATGACCACTTGCTGCGTCCTCGGATGAAGTTCTTCCGACTGGCCCGCTACTGTTGCTGTTGCTATTGCTATTGCTATCAATTGCTTTTGCTAGTAACCGACTGTTATTGTTGCTACCGGCGTTCGTCGTAAGATTCGTCGCTGCTGTACTCCGGTGGCTCAGGGAACTACTTCCGCTGCCAGCGCTGTTATTGTACAACGTATCGCTGGACGTGTTCCGACTGTAGTCGATACCGCCGCCCCCGTCGCCTCCTGCCCCGCGATGTCCGTCCGTGCTGCTGTTGCTGCTGTCTACACTTTCGAATGTACTGCCGTATGCTGCTGCTGGACTTGATACGCTTCGAAAGTCGCGGTAGTGTGTAGCGGGATTCCAAAGCGCTGGATTCTTCTGCCACTCTTTGTCGCCGACAATTTCGCGCGGCCCCGAGTACGGGTACCGATCATTTGCCCAATATCGAACATCCGCATGGGGCAGCGGTGAAGGACTCTGATTGGATGAAGACATTGGAGGCGTCAACTCTGTGAAGTAGCATAAGCATTAGATTGAAATAGCTACATGCTGGGTTATCATTATGTCATCTTTATTATTTTTATGCATATCATATTAGACGAACTAACCTGCCTTTCTCTCTAATATATGTATATATTTCTTGTTTGCATACCTTTTTCTAAGAATAAAGGTGTTTCTATTACCGGCAGCCATGTTTCTAGGTACCAGATATACCGAATAAAAAAAACAATACATTTCTTTTTAGAGGAAGAGGTGCCTATATTTAACGGCTATAAGGTTGTACACCGCTTAGCCTATAGGAAACTGACCGTCACACTGGCTATTTACGCAACCATAGTCTATGACAGCTCAATGTTAGTTAACGCAGATGTAGGTATTGCAACGATGCACAGACCGCGAATCCGCATTTGATGTTTACCTCGCCTTCATCAAGCAATAATAAATCCGCCGGTAGTTATAACCTAGTCAATAATCTACTATTGCAAATTCTGCTGCTCTTACTGTGGCGGGGTGACTGAAATTGTCGCTATGAGCAATGTCGTCGGTGATTTTTCATCACCAACATAAACCTGGTATCGGCCATCAGGACCGGACAATGCAAATCCTGAAGGGTGGGGGTATAGTTGAATGCTAGGGAATTTGAAGGAAACCCAGGTGGCGATTGAAGCTTGAAGGCACTGACACCTGCAGCGTGATGTTGATATGCTGGCGTGTAACAACATGCGGCTTTGAGCAAAAGGTACTGATTCCACTTGTTAGACACAGATAGTTGCGAACTCTTGTGGAAGAGAGCCTCTAAACCTTTGTATTAATAGCTATGTAACCAGGCTTCAATAACAATAATAAGGTCCGCCCTCTGTTATAGCAGGAAACGAATGTCTATTGTAGCTTTCAGGTGTTACTCGTGTTTTCAGTACCTGTCTCCAAGGCGCACACGAATGCTACGCTTTTGCATCACCCTTATGTCCTATATGCCTCATATTCTATACGCGTTCAAATCTCATTAGATTTTTCTAATGTCGTCTTCATTGGTTAGCTACTATCGAACATTCCTCGTTTCTGTTGCTTCCCTTTTTTGTAAGTTGATTCGTCAATGTTACTGCTGTTTGCGCCGCCATCCCGTCATCCACTGAAGCTGATACCGATCGTCGAAGCTGATGTAACCACCACATCAGCAACAGCAACGGATCGGCCAATGTTTACTCTATCGAAGCGGGTGAGCAGATTGGTCCATCTGTAGTGGCCAAATATCCGTGTTAATTAATCGTAATAGCGCGTCAACAGTTACAAAAATAAAGTGGTACAACGCAGGGCACCGCTCCATAGCGTGGCCATTTCACTGAAACGGCTCCAGAATACTGAAACACAGAGTATTTCGCCGGCGCTGCCCCTGAAGCTGGCCATGGCTGCGGTGTTTGCCTTTGTTATATAATGTAATAGATTCATTTGAATGTTAAGTCAACATCGGTTTGGCAGCTTTAGCGGCGGTGCAACGGCGCCGTCTCGACGGCCGCCAACATCATGAGCAGCGCCCGGACCGCGCCACGGATGACGCCATCTTCGGATTGCAGCGGACTGTAGGCAGTAGCTTATTTCGACTACTGCAGGGTCGGGCAAGCAGGATAGAACAGACGGACAGACAGACGGACAGACAGACAGACAGACAGACAGACAGTGTCACTTTGAAGAGCCAATGACTGTCGCAGCTCTAGCCACTGCCGTATTGGCCCCCAGGGGGCCAAAGCCGCAGGTTATAGGGCGCCAGCTGCAGTGAGACAAGACAGGCAAACCGACAAAGAGGAAATCAGACAAAAAAAGAAGAAGAAACATTTTCTAATGGCGCAAGAAAAGAAATGGAAAATAACGATATGTAATAGGCTCAGATTCACTGACGCCTTCTACAGCTGAACGCTGGACATTTTAAATCGAAAATTAAAATAAGTAAACCAGATTTGTATTTACGAAATCATTTAGTTGTCATAATGGCCGTGTCACTGCATTGGCAAGATCTCATAGCAAGTTAGAGTGAAATGATTTACCCACACGGGTCTTGAGTCTATATTACTATGATACAACGATTGCCGACAAAAATGTAAAAATCGCTGAATCTCTCGTTGAAGTAATCGCTTCGAGCTGAAAAAAATATTTTCAAATAAAAGAGACTTCAGAGTAGAGAAATGAGATTATTTGTGGTCGAAACGGGGTACGAAATTAGAAACGATACGACGCATTAGCCAGTGTTCAATGAACGTCACGCATATGGTATTACGTATCTTCGTGTGCTTCTCCATTACTCAATCAACAACTACATCGATGTTACTGTCTCTTACACTTGTCAACATACATTCTTACTAACCGTGCAATAAAGGGCCCAACTTGGGCTCAGCTGGTTACGCCATCTCTGAGGCTATGACCACTGACGCTTAATGAAGCTTAGATAGTATCAGATTATGCGAATATAGCTTTAGTTCGCCCGTTCACGTACATGACAATACCAAACTCTTTGTATATGTACGTAGCTAATATTTAAGCAAAAGTGCATATCGTAGTAATGATAATTATTAGCTCAATTATAATAAAATATCAAATTATGACTCATATTTTTCTCAAATTATCGTAATAGTAATATCAAATTCATTTTCAATATAGCCCTTGAGGTAAACAAATGCACTACACATATGAAATGTGTCAACCACATCGATATAGGGGCAATTAGCAAACTAAATTCCGCCTTAGGTTCCCCCTTGCATACCTATACATTTTATGAGATAATACGACTATATTAGCTCACAATACGAATGCATCTAACGGTTCTGTGAAGGAAACAGGAAAAACTAATGCCCACGACAACAAGTGTCGCTGTCGTCGGAGCCGCCATTGTTGTTGCTGGTGGCGCTGTTGCTGCCGCCGCTGCTGTTGAGCTTGTCGAGCAAAACTATTGTTCCCTTCCGACCGTAATTGACGCATCTGCCGCGGCACTGTTTGTTGCTGCCCGAAGAGTTGGCACATATCGAATCGTATATGGACACTAGTAGTTCGCCACCTATAACGATGATTATTATAAGAACTCATCATTACTTGCAGCCGTATTGCCAGCGAATACCGCAACAGCAGCGAAATGTTCTGATCGATCAAGCGAGCACAAGCAAACGGTTGGTCAGGCGTTGCTGACTGGCGAGCAAAAGCAACTGGACAAAAATCGACAGCATATACGTACATACGCAACGCAGCGAGCCCCTCTTTCTGGTGACGCCTGTGGCCCTGGCGTCGCTGTCAGCACTAGCTCTACGCGGCTCAAACCCTTCTTCTGTTCGATTCATATCACTGATTCGGCTGAAACGACTAGTAACGCGGTTAGTTCCACTTGCCGCTAGTGCGGTGTAGCATATGCCACTGTTGCTAGCTGGCTCTACGTTGATGCGTGATGATACCTTCCCGCGCGAGATCCGTTTTGAGATAGTGCCTTGTTGTATCGTTTATGCCATGTGCGGCGCTGGTTCGCGCGCGGATGTGCGACCAGACTCACCGGCTGACCAAGCATTGGCCGCCGTAACACCACTGTTGCGACGCTGTTATCTCGATCGGACGACGACGAAGGTTTGACTGGCCGCAGCGGACGCAGTCGAAATACCCAATACTTGACATCGACCGGACACCGTTCTGCCGACGAATCTGCTCCCCTCCAGCCTGGCCACGCGGCGTGGTCATACTACCATGCCAAGCAACGAGGGATTACTTCCCGCGACTTCGTTTTTGTCGCGCTTCATGGTCGGCCGAAGTGGCGCCGAAGACGTCGCACTGCCGCTTTGCCTAAGCGGATGCAGCCACTAGCAGAGCTCCGCCCGCCAATATACTATCACACATCCAATATACAAGGATATAGGCAATAAGCGACTGTCTGCGTATCGTCCAAACGGTCTGTGAGACATAGCAACATGCGGCGCTAGTCCTCGTGGTGACTATGCCAAGGCGTTAGTCACCGACACCATGTCGTCTAGTGCTGTCCACATTATGTCGTCGATACTCAGGGGGATACGCTGGATGCCGACATCACCTTCAGTATTTTACATTAGCTCCTTCTCTCTGTCCTGTCGGGGCAAATAATTGCGAGCGGTGACGGCTCCCAGTATATATAATCGTCAACAGCAAATACGGCTTTTTTTAGCAAGGGCCAAACAGATCTCGTTTCAGCAACCACAGCAGCATCGGTACCTTTTCATCGTTAAATATATGCTAAATATTAATTCGATGCGTTTTATCGGAATGCCAAGAAGCCTAGTTAACCCATTCTTATCAAGTCTCATCACGAAGCTAGCCGTTAAGCCACAGACAGTCTCCGCTTGATACCGCTGCTACTATTGACTCTCTCTCGCCGATAGTGAAAACGTCTAGTGGCGACTGTGATGGCTGCATGGCGTATTGTAGTCTTGTCGTTGATGGTGGACGTGATGGGGCAGCACCAGTCGCTGTCACCGAGCGAAGATCGGACAAGCGGAACTTTCTGGCTGGTTGTGCTGCGTGCAGACGTCGGCCACATATCCTGCCGTATGCTGCTCTGCTTAGCTGCCAGTGAGTATCTATGATCCGCCGTTTTTTTAGCAGCGTCGGGGAATCCAATTTTGTCGAGGAGAAGGGCCAGCCATTCAGGAGTCAGTGGTCAAATTGAGCTTTACCTCGCTCACTCGACTGCTCGTCCGCGCGAGCAGCACCTCACGGTACAGCAGCAGTAGCAGCAAATTCAGTAATCGACCAGTAGCAACAGCAGCTGGACTAGCAGTAACAAAGCGACCAGCGCCAGTAGGGCCAAGAATACAAGCCTGCTTCACTTTCTTTTTTGCTTCTCCGTCGTCTTCTCGTTGGTCCCAAACGGGGCAACGTAAGTCGAGCAATTGCTGCTCAGAGAACAGCGAACAGAGACGCCAACAGCCGTAAGCAGTCGCAACGGCATTAGAAGTCGTAACCATCTAGTACGAACGTATACGTGTATGTACAGAGCTGGTTGAAGCGGTTGCTCCTCGAGGAATGATGCTTTTCGCCGTAACCACATACTTCGCTTCGTTGTTTCTTCGTTTTCGTTCAACATAGCTAGCTGCTCGTAGTTCGCCTGGTTTCGTGGCTCTTACTGCGCGCCGTGAGCGGCCCTGGTGTACGCCAGTCGACACGGCCCCTACCAGCCCTGGCGAAGTATGCGCGAAAAGTGGAAGGCGCAGATCCATCGGGCCGAAAGAAGAATTCGACAACGTTAGAAGCGGCGGCAGCGATGGCGCCAGCAGACCCAGGACAGCCCGATGGCTAGTAGTGCCAAACTGGCCCGCGTTTGTATTATTATTCTACGTACTGGAACTGCACTCGCCTGGGCCCTACGCCGGTTGTTTCAGGAGCAACAGGGACGCCAGTAGTGATGGGTCTGTTGCCGAAACTATTGAGATCGTTGAGTTGAAAGGGGTATGGGCGGCAGCAGCAGCGGCGACCTTAGGCCATTCAAGAAGCCCATCAATCTAATGCGCGAGCTCGATCCACCGGCCGGCCGATGAGGACTGAGCGGCTTGTGCTGTGATGCTACGACAGAGATAGGAAGGCCGGAGGGCAGACAAAGAAGGCTAGCGCCAGCTTGTCTAGCACACGGCGACGAAGTAAACTGAATAGATAGAACATCGGACATCTGACGTCGTTCTGTCCCTTCGAATATTTTGATGCTAGTGAAAAAGGCGACGGAGTCGACAAAAAAGAGCGCTCTTTTACTCACCAGCAGCCATCACCGCTGGTTGGCTAGCTGGCTGGCGGTATTTTCTTCGTATCGTTGAGGGAAACGAAGGACTAATACATGCGTTCCTCCTTCTCCTTTTGTTCTTTCTCATCGTCGAATCGGACGAAGTAGAGGAGCACGAGAGTGCGAAGAATGAAATACATTTATGAAGCCCATTCAGAAAACTGTAGTATAATTTTTCTACGGAACGGAACAGGAAACTTTTAGCTAGTTTGCGCATCTTGCTGCAGGTCTGTTCAGCCACGCGGTAATAGGCGATAGGTCTTTGCTATACTCAGCTAGAGCAATCGCGTACTAAACCGGCTACGCCTAGACGCCTTTATCTAGATATTGAGTATTCTGCATATCGATAAAAATTTACTCATGTGCGCTCTTTCAAAAGGCTCGCAAAACATATACCATATGAAACCACTGCTAAATGAATCTATACGTAACGAGTTTGACTAAAACTCATTATCTTCTAGTTGATCCGGCATGAATTGATTCCCTGAGCCACCCATCGATGCAAATAGATAAACAACGATCCGCTGATATATATATATACACCTTAAATTCTCAGATGTAATAGAATAAGAGAGGATCGCCAGACAACGTCACAAGTCTACCGTTCAATAGATAGTGACTACATTGTTTGAATATTAGATAGAGATCACAGACTAGCGTAATGATCATCAGCAACAAAGCGAACTGAAGCGTGAAACGGGAAGACAATCGCCAGCAGCAGCAGCAGACGAAACCCGTCGTCACATTTTAGCCGGTGATCATTGCTCAATACATCTCTAGCTTTTTCAGACTCCCAAAGCCCGCCGCAAAGACGCACAGCTGTCAGATTTCAACGCCATATACTGGGGCTGCACTGCTTAACTGTACAACGGGCTTTCATAGCTGTCACCGCGACTACGAACCCCCTTGGCTACTATGGTCTGGCGGTTGACTGGCTACTAATGGGGTAGAGCCAGACCTCAACACTGGCGCTGCTACCGGTGCGGATGCTTTCGTCTTCATGCAACGGCGAAACAAGCGACTTCCGCGGCGGCGGTGACAGCAGCGGGGCGGGGAGGGGGTGAAGTGACTTTCGGCCGGCATTGGAAAGGCGATGTATGAGCTGGTCTTACCAACATAGCAGTAGCGGCATGCCTCGATGCTCTACCCCGACGCCATCTTGTACTGGCTTTGCGGAGGGGTCGACAACAACGACATCAGCGGTACGGACGTTTTGCTGTTGTCGTCGGCGCTACGTCGTATACAATCGTCTTTCTTTTTCTGAGTGATTATCTGGAGGGCATGGCGCGGCAGCCCATAGGCGATAACGCGCCGATAAGAAGATAAGGAGGCAACGGGTTACAGCTCCTCGCCGTGAAACTGAGACGCTGGTGTTGCCTGCTGTTAACTGCAGACGGCAGGGCCGTCTGCACGGCTGGAACCACAACGACGACGACCCATGCTTGTTGGTCCATGCTTAAAAGTGTCGCCGTGACCCCGAATGAGGGAAGAGTCATGTCGTGTGATCGCTGCAGTCGAGGTTGAGAAAACAACGACAGCTAGCGTCAACTGACACGGCCGCGAGGAACAGCGGCGGCAGCGGTAACTGCATTGAAACGCCGGCTAGAAAGGTAACTGGCTTGCCGCCAAGCCAAAGGGCTACCCAATCATGCGTACAGCCGATTTCCTGCTATATATGCATTTTGATAATCAGACAGAGGGCGCGAGAGAGAGAAAATCAACAAAGCACGGCGAAGCCATTGGATATGTTATAGGAGACGATAGTGACGGGGACCGGAGCCATGGTCGTGGCATAACCCCAGTAGCGCGTACTAGTCCATCTATGATCGGACTAAACTGGCCATGGTTCGATAGTTTTCTCTATATATGTGTAGTTTACTTGCTTGATAACCTGGCTTGCCGACTTGCCGGCCGAAAATATCAACAGCAGTACTCGCATCGTATGCACCGCGTTACCGGCTGTCTAGAGGGAAGAATCAAATAGCACGGTACAAGACGGCTCAGCCCTATGGAACCTCCCGCCGCCCGGATGTTGGAATGTGGCCGCAGTTAGTCGCCGCATCTCGTCCTAATAGAAGAGGAACTGTCCTAACAAAATCCCGAAAGAACTGACGGCCCAAAACCGATCGTTTATATACGCCAATATATTAGATAAACTATTATACGATTGTATAGTGAATGAATATGAACTGACATACATGAAGGTTGTTGCATTGTTTTAGCGATTGCAGACCCAGTTCATCGTCATCCAGTATAATGTATTATTATAACATATTATACGGTAGTGGGAGTTGTAATATAACTGCTGATGTGGTAAATCTTCCGACGTTATATATTTGTTTTTCAACTGTTGCTATTATGCCACGATCTCAAACGCCGTGTGATCACTGACCTGAAAATAATTTCAGTTTAATATTTTTCAGTGTATCACAGTTCAGAGGGTGGATTCTGTTTCATCGTCGTCATCATCATCTTACGTCCTGCAGTTCGGCCGCGAAGGCATAGCCGAAGTATACCACATTCTGACGCATGTCCTAACGAGGATTAGATACACTTTTACCGACACTGACATGGCCTGGCCGCCCCGTTAATGGTGTATTCACGAAAATTTATCGCGGCAGCAGATTGCGTTGCGTGTCATTGTCGTTGTTGGCAGCGGCAGCTGCGGCGTGAGCGTCCGCAGCGATACTAGTTGAGACCGGCGATCGGCATACTACCCGAGCAAGCCAGCGTCAAAGGAGCACTGTGCTACACCGTCATATCCGAGAAAAAATGTCGTAGAGGTGTAAGCGGCTTCTACCGATATCCGCGCGACAAAGGAATCTACCATCAACTGCACCAACAGCATGAATGCGCCAGAGCGGAGGATTCTGGCCTTCTCCTTTTTTCTGCGGCTATGTAACGTCCGCGCATCTCGAACAGTCTTCGACCGTTTACTTAGTGTACTCGCCTCGCTCATTCTCGGTATTTGGCATGAGTTGAGGTACTGACAAAAGATTAGGACCGAAGCAAAAGACGTAGTGCGAGGCTGCCGTAGCCGCCTGGTCATGACACTATAACTTAAGCTCCAGGTCAGCTAAGCGAGTGGCCGACTTCGCTTTCCGAACGAAACAGTCAGTGACGTTCGCATAAGTATTATAGTACTCTGCCTGATGGGGACATTCTGTTGAGCACCAAATCGGTCTATTTTAGCGAGCACGACTGCCTGCCTGCCTACCTCTGACGTCGCTGTTCTCGATTTGGTCGATTACGGCGATGATAACAAAACTGTTGTTATATTACTGTTGTCAGCGGCCGCAGCAGCTTAACCCAGCTCTTTCGTCTTTAGTGCCATTTACCAAACACTGACGGCGGTATTCACTGACAGCGGTCGTTCAGTTTTTCGTTTCGATGCTTTGAAGGGCTGTATTTTCGTTTAAATGCTCCTTCGTTTCACCATATCTTTCTTTCCTTCTTCGGTTTTCTACCGTTGCGCTCGGAAACCTTCACCCTTTTCACCCGGTTCCAGTCCATCTAAAATTTCAATACCAATTGCAACCCTCTGCCTAGCTGGGATAGTCGAAAAAGAAGCCTGGAAAAGGACGTCGTTTTCTGATTCTTCTCTCTTGGGCCTTTTCTTCTACCCCTTTTTTCTCTATCATCATCATCATCGGTTTTTCTTTCCTCTCATTTTTCTAGTCGTGTTGCCAACGAGCAACCTCTCCCCCTCGATCTAAGACCGATGGCGATAGTTCAACGGTCTCCATCAATAAATACTCAGTGTTTAGTCGTTACAATGTTGGTATTTATCGTGAGCGACGTTCGCGGAGACAACGACGTCTCAAAAAAAACCGTCCACATAGACTATTATAGTTTAGTTCGATACGGAGCACGTAGCGGTCCAACCAGTTTCAAGTCTTGAAGCACTTCAGATGAGCATCAGTGTCAGTAGCAGCAGCGTTTATTGCCACGGCCATCTAGCGCTGTCCTAGAGAGCCAGCACAGCAAGTCGATCTTAGTGCGCCCCACGAGCGGCGGATTCGCATCATGATGGTAATGTATTGTCACAGGCCGTTGCATCGCCTCGCTGTGATGCGTGCACAGAAACCTGTCTTCGAAGCAGGCAGGTGCTAGCGACCGTTCGTGCCGACGGGGCGGCAGACGATCGAATGACCGACCCCATAGTCAACAACAGTATCACCACCTGCATCCCCCCGCCCGCCGTCACCTCGGCCGCCGTTCGCCTGATGGTGTTTTTGACATTTACCTGCGCTGTGGTTCTGCTGTGGCTGCTATGCACTGAGTATTGGTCGAATGCCTGTTTCTTGATGTATCAGGAACTCTAACAATGGCACTAGCGCCAGAATCGCTCGTATTCCGAGTGTCCAGAAGCGCTACCTTCTGGCAGCAGCAGCAGCAGCAGCAGCAAAAAGTTCGCATGCGGCACACATTGACATCGACACTGAGAATCTCGAGTATCTGAAGACCAGTGGAATCAGAGGCGATGGCGTAGCCGGGCGTGGATTTGCCATCAACATTTCTAGCTGCTGATAGCGTCATAGTCCTTTTGCTAGTACAACTGCTATTTCGTAGACCGCATTAGACGACCATCCATTTCCTCCCAATAGTCCCAACGGAGCGGCGTTCCATTTGATATTCCATTCTAGGCTTTACGACAATGTTAAAAAAACGTCAACAACAACAACAGCAGCAGCAGCAGCAGCTTCGACCGCGTCAGCGTTTTTGGCTCAAGCACTGGCAGCATTACAGTGATGTAGCAGTTTACCCACTGACGGCGGTGTGATCAAATC